TCAGCGTAGTACTCCAGCTAGGTGCCGAGCGGATATTTTGTAATGCGGGCTGATTAGGATCGACTAGCAAAAATTACTACGTCGACATTACTTCACGACGAAAATTTTTGTGATTAATTTATCAGGTGCCAGCACCGTATCAATCAAAGACTGAATCCCAGGGGAGAAGTATGCTGTGGTACGGGTGAGAATTACCAAGTATCCACATGCCAACCAGCGGCGGATCTAAAAATTTTCTTGAGCCTCGGCAAACCTATCAACGGGTGAAGCATGCACATAAAACCTTGACCATTAATCACAAACACAAGTAGATTTGGCATGTAAAATCTTGCTTTGTGCTGGTTGATCATGCGTGTTGGGCTCTATTAGATTGAACGAAGCAAGGTAATAGCCAATTAGGTATGTACTTAACGAGCAATATGTTGTAGGCCATGGAGTAATACGCTGTCGCAGGTCTAGGAGCCTGGGCACCCGCCCATGCTGGCCGGGCCCTGGCTCCACCACTGATGCCAACTACTATAGTTGATACGGAGTATGATAATTTAGTGGGACTATCAATATGGTATTTGACAGAACACACATCCATTAAATGTAAATTATGGATCGTTGAATTGCTTTTAGATTTATGCAGCAATGCCTAACCCTAATACTTTATTCTCATTCCCTCAGTCCCAACTCACACCATTGTCGCTTCTCCTTTTCCTCGTGTGCACACTCCACTCGCCACCGCACCAAGCCACTGCCTTGCCTAGTTGACTGGGCGGAAGGCTTCAATGGTGTCGGTGAGGCCCCTCCTTTCCCCCTCCCTCTTCTTTCTGGCGTGAGCTGTTCGCATGTCATCGTCTTCCATGTCTCTGGCAGCTCCCCACCAATACCATTGGATCCACCACCACCGGTCATCACCACTTAACCAATCTTTCTGCTTTGTCCCCACCGTCAACACCAGGTCCCCACTCTGCTTCTAACCTCGCGGCTTCGGTAGCACCATTACCATCTCATCGCTCGCCCAATCCACCGCCCACCGTGGGGCTATCACCTCCCATTGCCATCTCCCTAGAGCTAACGAACTCCTTCATCTTTTCTCGTTCCCCTTCCTCCACCCCTGATCCCAACATGGGACCTAAAAGTGTAGGTCCCCTACTGAAGTTTGGAGTACCACCGATGCCGAAAAAGATCAGGAGATTGTCGGACCCGAAGGAGAAGGGCAAGAGCATGAATCACGAAGATGGACTTTATGACGAATGATATATTAGCAATTTTGTGATTTAATTTAGCAATTTATTTTTCTTATAACAATCTTGTTTGTATAGGTGGACCAAAGCCCGAGCATCATGGAGCCACATGTAATGGCTCACTGTTGCGGGTAAGAGGACACTAGCATGTCTAATGCACCTTTCAGTCGATTGATGCTGACAGCTAGTAGTTGTAGCGAGGTTTGTTTGTACTCCTATTCATAAATATATTCCAAACGTACTAGATACATTTTGTTACCAAACGTTGAAAATGGTTTATAAGAAGGCAATATCATTTTGTATTGTACTTCCTCCATTTCACAATTTAAGATTTTCTAGCATTGCCCATATTCATATAGGTGCTTACATTATGAAACGGAGGAAGTAGCATATGTGATGTGAATAGATGCTTGCACATTGGAATATATGAAAAGAAAAAAAGAGACCGCCCACCAACCGATTACACTATCCCAACTTAAAATGAGTGTGCTAACTTAACTCGTAGCGCAATTGAAAGAGTTTATTTCAAAATGTTTACTAGATATTTTTTTGAAAATATAAAATTATATTTTGTCCGCTTAAATTCCTGCAGTAATTATGCGGGAGGGATGGCGAGGTTTGATGGCTACGCGTCTATGAATTTTGAAACCATATGGTGTATTGTCAACAGGGGTGAGATGAACACCATGGGTTGGAATTTTGGATAACGATAAGAGAGCTGTCTGATAGGAGTGGGTGTGTATGATAGGAGCACGCACTACTCGATCACCTGCTACAACCTCTCAACAGCTCAGTGTTACTGGAGCACTCAGCTTGAGGAGACTGCCACCTCCATCGTTTGTTTATTTTTTATTATCAGCCATAACCATAAAATTAATTCAAAAGTTAAATTCTGGTTAAGTAGTATAGTAGATAACAATACATATATAAAAATTTTACTTATAAACTATTATTTTTCTCAACTTACAATCAGCTATAGACAAAATGATGTGCTCACCCACAACAACTATTTTTCACAGCTGCCGTAAATATTTTGGTGACTGGATGGCTCCACGTCACCATGGGCCCACATGTCTGCTGCCTTTTCCGCTCACGGGCCACATCACCAGGGTCCACCAGGGCTTTTGAGAAAAGCGTGGGCTCCAGCCTCCATGTCGGTCGCTTTTAGCAGCAGCAGCGCGCCAGCGCACTCCGGTGGCTTTGGCTTCGCGCGAGCGAGGAGAGGTGCAGCGGTGTACACTGTACAGTGCGCTACAGGTTAACGCAGCAGAAGTGCAGGCGAGGCAGGGCAGGTGCGGCCGCCGTGGTGGTGGTATCCAGCGGTGGAGCAACCGGCGGCGGCGGCCGATTATTGGTTCCTCGGTTCACGGGAGTGGTGAAGCGCAGCGTGGCCACCGGCCACGTACTCGCGTACGTACTCACGCCCGCACGCACGCACGCCTGCGTGCGCTTGTGCCACTTTGGCGACGAGTTGACAACTGTGAGTCCGCGACAGCGATCACCCTTCGAGTGTGTTGGGTGGTGCACCGACGTTGCTGTCCATTATATCGGCCACCATTTGCCAATTTGCTGATTGCCGATTGCTACGGATACGGCACTGGCTTTTCGGCTGGTTAATCGAGATGCTCTCCTTTAATTTGTGATTCGCTAAAAAAGATGAAGAAAAAGATATGCTTATTCTGATCCATGATTAGGATGCACGAACGCTTAACAAATGCTACTGATCACTTGTGTGTAGTGCGGTACAGCGGTAACACCCTTGCCGTGATGAGGAGGAGTTCAGGGAGGATCTACGGCTCATACGTACGGTCGTGGTACATCGTGAGGTGAAGTCATCCGCTCAGGCCAAATCTGCGTGCCCGGGCAGCTGCAACTGCAATATATGATCACTCAAAAAACTTTCCAACAATGTCAGCTCGTGGAAGCTGACGTGTCCAGGCGTCAAATTGATGGAATTCCATTTCCGGAGAGACCAAAGCGAGATCCCCATAAAAAACGTCTCATCATGCGTCCACGCTTGCATCGACGTACAGTACTACGATCGTAAAATATTATGCTTCTTTTTCGAAAGGGCCCGGCTAATGTCACCAGTTCAAGTATCCTATCCAACTCCAAGTCATCCAACCTTGCTAGGATGAGAACGACACGGATTAGTGCACTCAGCATGGCATGATTATGTAGGAATCCAATGCTAACTATACTCGTCTGTTTTATGATGCCATCGAGCCTAGCTTGCTTGATTGATTTCGATCAGGATGATATGCCCCTTCAACCACTCTATCCTGCATGCTTAGTTTGCCCACACTCCACCCTCCACAGTGGCAAAGAAAGCTGCGTGAGCGTGACGGCCTGAATATTCCTTTTTAATTTGGCCAAATGAAAGCTCAGATTCGCGATATACGTAGACACGTAGTGCGCCTCATCATGCACGATTAAGAAAAGGAAAACGCCGAGGGCTGGTGGTCTCAAACAAAACGGTGTGCGTGATGGAACACGCATACGTACGTACTACTACATTATACTCGCTTGCTCCAGCTTTAGGGCCTCTTTAAATCACAGAATAAACAAACAGAGAAATAGAAAAAACATAGGATTTTGACAGGAATAAAAGTGTAAAATAGAGGATTGCAAAACACAGGAAAAACATAGGAATGACCGTTTGATTGAACCATAGAAAAAACACAGGAATTTAGGGAGAGATAAAGACTCAAAAGATTTCTTCCATGAGGTTCTAGCTCTTGTTAAAATTCCTCCAAAACTTATATGGGAAGAGGCATTCCATAGGAATTTTATGGGATTCCATAGGGTTCATTCCTTTGAGTCAAAAGGCTTTATAGGAAAAATTCCTATAGAAATAAAATCCTCTAAAATTTCTATAAATTTCCATTGAATCAAATTGCCTTAATTTAGTCCCATCGATATCCAAAACCATGCGTACGTGTGCATCCTGCCATCAGCCCATTCTGATGCACGGCGCACCGTCGTCCGTCGTCGCGACAAGCCAATATGCACATATAAACGAATCCACCGAGCAAGCCGGAGCACGACGTCGTGCTGCATAGCTGGATGCATCATGCCTGAGTGCGTTTGATACGTACGTACGCTCATCCACCAACGGGCCCACGACAAAACGACTCGATCGATCGGTGAACATTGCTCGCGTTGCCGTACGTGCTTCGTCGGTAGTCGTGGGTGGGGTCTTGGTCACCCCGCATGGGTAGGAGCTGACGCGTCACGCGTACCGCCGTACGTGTCGTATCGTGTAGACGAGAATTTTTTTTAATGTTTTGAACTTTTAAAAACATTAAACCATTCCAAAACTTATTATTAGAATTTGAACCTTTTTTATCACGTCAACCTGCTAGATACAACGAGCGTGATAATTTTGTTATGCCACGCAGGATGGCGTGGCCAGATAATGCTGTCACGCCAAACAGACCGACATGACAGTGTTCCAAAAGGTTTAGAGTTTTTGAAAATGTTTATTTTTAAAATTTAAAATTTGAAAAGTTTAAAAATAAAAAAAAATTGTGTAGACGATAACGACGGTCGCGCAGGCTTGGCCGATCCCGACCCGACCAACCGGGGGCGCTGTCGCATGTGAAGTGGGCTGCGCGCGTGGGATTCTCAGTGGCCTTTTCTGGAGTAGCTTCTTTCGGCCCGCTTTGCTGCCATGGGCCGATATGTTTATTTCCGTCTTACTCAGAGCCCAATTCGGGATATGTGGTTTCGTTTCCGCGGGCGGAAGCGGAGAGAAACGGCGCGGGCCCCGGGGAGAGAACCGGCATTTCCCGCTGCGCGCATTGCCGGCGAGGCGCCAAAACCCTACCGCGCGATAATCCTCTTCCTCTCCGCTGCGCTCCCTTCCCAGCCGGCGGCGCCAACTTTAGTAGCCGCAGGCCGCAGCCGCCCACGAACCGCCGGCGACGAGATCCGAGAGGAGGCTGGCCGGGGCTGTCGATGGCGTCGTGGTGCGGCGACCTGGCTGCGCCGCCCCGCCTCCTCGTCGCCCCTCGTGAGTGCCCCTCCTCCGCCCCCGGCCATCGTTGTGCTGTCTGGTCTGTTTAGGCTCGCATGTTTCAGGGCGGTAGTGCGATTAGTGATTCTAATTCCAAATCCCCAATTGGAAGCATCTGGTAGCAGTAGTTTGTTTTCGTCTTCAATTTTCAAGATTCCTTTGAGCTCGGTGGATTTATGTGGCTTGGTCGAAATGCCAGCGGACTTAAAAATTGTGCGAACTGAAGATTACCGCCTGAGTTTTTTGGTTGGGCCTTGGGGGTCTTTTAAACACTGGATTACGGAGCAATAAGTGTATCACATGGAGGAGCATCACATGCATAAATGTATAATCAGTTAATCACATCCCATTTTGTGTTTTCCTTGCAGGTCCTTCTGATGGCAATTGTCAAGGGAATGTTTTGTCTCTCCGCCACCCGAGATCAGGTGCTCTTATTCCTCCTTGCTTCTGTTTTCTTTGTCGGTTATTAAATCTGCACTAGTAATGTAGACTAATTTGGTAGCCTGTTAGCATCTGAAGAATAGCCATGCAGAAGTAGATTATCAGCATTCAACAGTTTTGCATTAACTCTTGCCTCATCATCAAACAGATGAAGAAACAGGGTATCTGTTCATCGACGGTCAACTTCACGAGTTCAATTGGTTTAAGGAGCGATTTGGATCTTGGTTCTTGGGTGATTATGTTTGTGAAGGTATGGCAGACACATAGCTATGCAGTTGTCATTTCTAAGAAAAACTTTGTATTTTGCCTTTATGGTAAGGTTTGTCTATTATTATCTTGTGTGGGCTATAGGAAGACATTTTGATAGGAATTATTGCCCTGCCTCTGAAATCACCCATTTAGATTTTGTTAGCAAGTAATTAAAATATGGAATCAGACAGACATGTTGTTAAAGGAGTGGTGCTATTCTTGTTCTAACACAGCAACATAAATAACTTCCAAATGGCACAATCTATTCCAGATAAAGTTTTTGAAAAATATCGTACTGCGGAGAAATTCAATACCTGAGTTTATTGACCTGCTGTCCTTCCTGACTTCTTGTAGATGGCAGCCTCTACTACTGCACAGTTGTTGATCCCATTTTTATTCTTCTACCAATTTTGAAAGCTGCACGTATGTCGGTATGCCAAATCAAATCAGAAATATTTCTAATATGAGGTTCACATTCAACATATTTGCCTGTTGAAAATTTGAAAAGCTAGTCCCTCAACAGCTTTACTGTGCTGCAGAATGGTAAAGATCCAGGAAAATTTAGGCAACTGGATGAAATATTGTATGTTGAAGGATATCCTGGATATCAACACCTCATGGGTATAGCAGGAAACCATATTGATCTGGTCTGTGAAGTTAAAGGTAGATGTTTGACTTGTATGTTTGTTCTGAAGTTAAATGTTATATGTAGTTAAATATTATAGCAAACTGCTGTCAGAATGCTGCCTACTTGTATTTGTAGTCCGGTGATTGTGCGGTGCATTTTTACCGCTTCATTACCTTGCTGAACTGAAACACTTATTGGATATGGATGTTTATGTTTCATCCGTGCTTTCCTGTGTGTTTTCATGGAAGAGAAGTTTTACTTAACCATCTCGCATGGATGTTTTCTTTCCTGCAGAAGTTGCTAATGTGAAGTTCTTTAGGCTGGACGATTCCAAGGTCTTATCTTGGTTGTGCTGTAAGGTTAGCTTGTGTCAGTAATTACATCTACTAACTCGATTTGCACTATGCTATTCCGCTGATACTTATTCTTATCAGAAGCTAACCCACCTTTTATCTTTACTTGTCCTTTTCATATTACAAAAGCAAGGATCTAACATGAAGTTAGGGTGGAATGTTGCTTATGTGGGTTAGGAAAAGAGGCATCTTATTGTTTTTAGACTGTTTGCCTTGAATAAGGATGCAACAATCCAACAAACTGAGCACAACATTGAGAATGTTGATGGGCTAAAACTTAATTCTTCCACACCATGTTTTAATTTATATTTGTATATAAACTATGTGCACCAAACATTAGTCTTTAAGTTCACTTTGGTTTTGAAGATGATAAATAAAGCATGAATTGGGACCCTAGTGAATTTCCTATATATTTAAGAACATGAATGCACATGGTCATTCTTGTAAACGTCCCTAAATAGGTGTCAGAGGGTAGTGGCTGCTATTCCTTGACTGCTGTTTGTAGCATTCTGCCTACCTTATGTTACAACCTTCTACAACCATTATAATGTACGGTGTGTTCCAGTACTGTTTATTTGTTGCATATTTCCTGCCATTTTCCAGTTGAACAATTTTACTTCATAAATTTCATTTAACTATGTTCTTGCAAAAATATAGCTAGCATGTGTTGTGCCCACTATAACACCACTGCTATCTGCTGTACCAACACTTTGCCACATGCTACATGCAACTCAAAACATCATACAATATTTTTGCATGATTAACCTAGTAATGGCTATTGTTATCTGCAAGAAACAAATGCCACTTTGGGATATCACTTAGATTTTTTAAAAAATTATGCTGCCTTGCAAATTCAAAATAACAGTTTGTCTTGGTAGCATCATGAGAACATACCAGTTCATGTGCCCTCATAATTTATGTTTTGATACGTCCTTTAGCTGTACTTAATATTCATGCCTGTGAATTTCGAATCATATTGATCTCACTTCACTTGTTACTCTGTAGTTTCGAAAATACTCTTATGAATCTCATATACAGGTTCACAATCTAAAAGAGGTTTTCCCCAAGCTAGGCAAAAATTATGCTGCCCAAGGAGAAAAAGAATTATGTATGTTGCTGCAACTCTTTTTGTTAAGTCTAATACAACTGTATTAGTCTATTATAAGAAGGATATAGCTCCTTGTAAACTTATGTTTCTGTTTATTTTTATGAGTGTTTTATCAACCGATATCCAAATGTACATAAACATTTTACCATTGCTAACTTTCACAATTATATGGTAATAAAAACTGTTTGAAAATGGATCGTCAGTGTGATTTACATCCTATTGGATCACTTTTGTCCCAACCTTAATTAGTGAATCCACTTTGCATTACAAAATTGTCTGAGTAAACTTAAAGGAGATTTTGCTTGTGGAGGTGGATCTCCTCTAAAGAAAAGGATATATCAAATTATTTTTAAACATTTTAACTAAAGTTATGTAACTTCAATTCAAGATATTGCACAGGGATTAAATTCCTGAGTTACTTTTGAAGCACAACTCAAGAATTTTATGAAAATGTAAATCATTGTTCTAATGGAGCGGTTTCCATTGTTTTGGTTACAGTGAAGGATGCCGTCCAAATAATTCGCGAATACCTGAACGACGAACCATGGTTAACGTTACTCTGCAAGAAGTTGCAGTAAGACTTCTCCTTGCATTATGTTGAAGATTTTAGTTCAGTACAGACTTTTAATTGACTATGCATTTTTTTTCTGAGCGAAATCCGATAGACTATGCTCACATTGGTACAATGCATTCTCCACAGGTTGGATATCAAGGAGATCATTGAAGCGAACAAAACTAGCGAAGCTTCCTTCTGTGCAGAGAATTCTCCTGTACCTTTCCACCCTGCTGAGGTAAACTCCTTGAAGATGATCAGGGTGTTCTACACCGGATAGCTCATGTGCTATAAGCTTATTAATCGTGTTAACGCAGGAGAAGCTTGGAAGTAGTAGCACTAGGTCAAGCAAAGGGAGGCCAGCAAAGAAACAAAAGGCTGAGGTAGAATCGAAGAACATCAAAGACATGTTCCGGAGGGTCACAAGGAAAGGAACGTGATCCCATATTATTTATAGTATGACTTGGTTCTGATTTCGCCATCGAGACCTCGCAAGGCGCTTCATATTATTGAGGGAAAGCTGAGGTTTTCAGATTAAAGCATTGTTTATGCTTCAGAAGCATTCGTGCAGCTAATGGAATTAACTGTTTAACAAATTTACTCCAAGTCTCAACTTTGTTAGGTTTGAAATGTAGCATTGCAGGCGTGTATTTAAGTATTTGAGCAAAGAGTCTTGTACTATCCTACTGATTTGTATCGTACCAACCAATTTCCTTGAACATCTTGGCCTTGGGTCACTAGAGTAATCTGAAATGGTTGTTAATGTTATTTGTGAGCTTCAACACTTCCTATTTGAGAACATTTCTAAGTTGTTCCGGAGGCCCGGTGTCTGTTATTATCTCCAAATAGTCTGTGTTACTACAGATAGTCTACATGTATGTACGTGCGGATAGGTGCTACTCCAAATAGTCTATACTCTAGGTATTTTAGACAGGTAATTCTGTACCCGGTATTTAGAAAGTACTCGTATGACGTATCACGCTAGATGGCGAAAGGCAAGTCACTACGTCTGAAAACAAAAAGGTAAAATGACCTAGCTTTTTTGTCAATCAACTGATTATGTGCTAAATAGAGTATAATCACTTTGGATGCTTAGATTGCTCTACATTAGTTTGCCCGTTGCACCCTCCAGAGGAATAATTAACTTATTTGCCACTATTATGAGTGGTGATAAAAGATTACCATTGAACTCACGTGTCATAGATACATGAGAACTCACATGTCATAGACAATGAGTGATAAATCTCGGAAATACTTCTCTCCGGACGGCCGATTCTATGCGAGAAATCGGATGCCCTTTATATCCTTATGTCTCTCCCACGCGCTCTTGTGCTGCCACGTGTCCCCACCACATATTTCGTTGCAACAAATCACTAACATATTTTGGAAACCCTCTGTTAAGGGAATCCGTTTTATTTTTTGTTCCACTAAAAATGTTTCACCTAGTGTACTCACAATGTTTCACTATGTATGGATCTCATGTTGTAGTGAATTGAAACATTCTTTTGCAACAAATCACCCACATATTATGGAAACTCTCTATTAAGGGAATTTGTTTTATTTTTTTTCTACAAAAAATGTTTCACCTAGTATACTTATAATGTTTCACTTTGTATGGATCAAATGTTGCAGTGACTTGAAACATTCTTTCGCTATTTGCTGAAACATTGTTTTTATATAAGGTGAAATAACGCCCTATTTAAATGAATGAAACATTTTTATCTACCCAGTGAAACAATTCTGATATACTTGGTGGAACAGCGTGCAACATTTAAAAATAATTCAATAATAAACTATTTTTTTCATTGGAATATATCCATGTGTGGTCTTGTTTTAAAAATTTAATTGTAACGAATTTAATAGTGCAATCGAATTATGATTTGGACAAATAATTTAAGATAAAAAATAGTTTAAAATAGTTTTGCATACATACATACTTGATGACATCATACTGACATGGGCGTCCGATTCCTAGTCGTCTCTAATAAATTCTTAATTGCCACCTCTTAAAAGTGGAAAAAAAAAAGAAAAGAAAGTTAAATGTCCCACCAAAGGCTCCGCGCGCCGCGGCCGCACCCTTCCGACGCGGGCTGAGGCGAGCGGACTCCAGTGGAGGCAGAGACGTGGGCTGCTGCTCCGGCCCATGGGCTTCCACCTCGAGCCTGGGCCGTCGCTGACGTCATCAACTCCCCCCCGTCTCCCCACACACGCACTCCCCTGTCCCCTCCCCCCGCTGCTGCTAGGCCCGATCCACTGCTCTCCCCACCGGTGGTGAGTCACCACGCTGCGTGGCAAACCCTAGTTAACCGGCGCGGCGTCCGGCGACCGTACACTCGGCGGAGGCCGCAGAGCGGCAGCGGCAGGCGGCGGTGCCGCCGAGGGCAGTCGGCTCGGCTCCCGCGGCAAAGCGGGAACGGGAGAGAGAGCAGGGCGGCACACGCGCGCGCTGAGGCTGCGCGCGGTGGGCGCGGCGTCCGGCGATGCCCGGGCAAGAGCTATAGGAAGGCGAAGTCGTGGGCTACAGCCCCAGTCCCCAGTGCTAAGGCAGTAAGCTGCTGCTCACTCCTAACCATCTCCCCCTTTTTCCCTTGCTTGATTTGTTGGGGGTACTGACCCTTACTAGTAGTTTTAGAAATGAGAAGATTGCTGAAACGATTGCGGTTCTCAACCTTGCTCGCGTAGTCTCATGCTGCTTGAGGGCTTGCCCAGGCTCCAAAATTTCCTGGCTCCGCACTTTTTAGAGGGATGAATCCGATGAAACCCAACCTGGCATTGTCTCGTCGATTCTCTAGTGGTAAATAGGAGTTTACCATAATGACCGAGCTTGTTTGATGATTATAACTTAGTGATATATAGGAGTTTCCCATAATACCTAGTTGATTTGCTGATTACAAATTAATTTTATGGATTGGCTGAACATGGGAATGAAAATTGGTGGCAAATTCTTGCAAATTCCTTACTTTCTGATCCGCTCCATGGTTCGTGCTTCAGTGACCCTTCCCCTCCATCTCGGACAAGCTCATGGACCAGGCAGCGGCGAGGATGATAAGTTAGGATTTGGGGTTGGGGCGGGGGCAGTTTCCTGGGTTTGGAGGGAGGTCTGGGCAGTACTGGCACAACCAGAGTCACTGAGTCAGGAGAGGGCAGTGGGAGGGCTCAGCAGCAGGGACGAAGGGGAACGAGAAGTTCCGAGGTGGATGACAGCACTAGCCGCCGGGTATGGGGAAGGAGGTGGCGTAGGGGCAGCGGATGCAAGGAAGATGGATCGGTGCAGTGGGATATGGAGGAAGGCAAAGTGGAGGGGAGGGGGTGGGGTGCATCGTCTGTAGAGGTGGCAGCAGTTGGGGATGGATTTGCTGTCGGCGACCTGACGCCTCTAAGGTAGAGGGTATGCAGTGGTGGAGATTGGTTAGCAGGGGTGGCGTTGAGTGATGGCTGGGGGATGGTGTTTACATTATTGGAGGAGAAGATATGGGCCTTTGGATCTCAATCAAACAGTCAAAAAGCGTACCATTTAGTGTAAAAAAAAAACTTACCAATTATATATAGTCAGCCCCATAATTTTAGGCACATATATTGGTCATATATTCAAGATGCTGATACCAATTATTTGCATTTCCCCATGTCATATTTAGTAATTACAAGTTACGTTTATGGTCTATCAATAACAGTTGTATCAGCAAAATTACATGTTTATGATCTGTTGTCAATTTTGTTTCGTGTACTGTATTCCAAGATGCTTACACTCTCGAGGGTGTTCAATTTCTGTCTCGATATAGGTTTCTGATTACCCAAGTGTAGATGTGATGGACACCCATCACAGCGATCAATATGCAAAGAGCAGCCTGCAGCTGCAATTCAGGGACACCTCTGTTTCCTTTGAAAACAACAATTCTGTTTTGGATAAGCATGATATTACAAGCCCTCAAGTTGGCATGACTTTTGAGACAGCCGATTTGGCATATCGGTTCTACTTAGAATATGGCTACCGTGCAGGGTTCGGGGTCTCAAAGAGGACTTCCCATAGTGTTGATGGGGTGAAATACCGTGCAACATTTGTTTGTTACAAAGGCGGCATTGCTAGGATCAAGCCTGGTCTCAAAGCTCGAAGGAGGCTTGTTGCAAAGACTGGTTGCAAAGCAATGATGGTAGTCAAGTATAACACAACTGAAAACCAGTGGGAGGTAGTTTTTGTTGAGCTGGAGCATAACCATCCATGTAATCCTGAAATGGTTAGATTCATGATGTGCTTTAAAGATCTCCCTGACTGGCAGAGGGAGCACCGCCCATTCAATGCCAAGACTAGATTGAATCCAAAGATTCACTCTGGCAGAGGCAGGCCACCCAACCAAAACAAAGACTTCATGGTGAAAAAAACCTTCTCACAATCAAATTATTCCATTGAAGCAGCAGGCAAGGCTGGAAAGCTGAGATTTGCAGAGGGTGATGTTGAGGCACTCTTGGTCTTCTTTGATAAGATGCAAGCTCAAAATTCAAACTTTTTCTACAACTGGGACATGGATGATGAAGGTCGGCTCAAGAATGTTTGCTGGGTCGATGCTAGATCGAGAGCTGCATACCAGCACTTCTGTGATGTTGTTTGCTTTGATACTGTTTATTTGACATACCAATTTGTCATTCCATTGGTTGCTTTTCTTGGAATCAACCATCATGGGCAATTTGTGTTGTTGGGATGCGGTTTACTTGGGGACGAATCTCCAGAGACTTTTTCTTGGTTATTCAAGAAATGGCTAAAATGTATGAATGATAAATCACCTGAAGCAATTATTACCACCCACTCAAGACCAGTGGTCAAAGCTGTTGCTGAGGTATTTCCAAATACTCGTCACAGATACAATCTTTGGCATATCATGAAAGAGCTTCCTGAAATGTCTGGAAGAGTTGAGGATAAGGAGGCAATTAGCCTAAGAATGAAAAAGGTAGTCTTCGACACTATTACATCAACTGATTTTGAGAGGGAATGGGTTGAGATGGTCAATCAGTATAACCTTCATGATAATCATTGGCTTACAACCTTATTTGAAGAGAGGGCAAAATGGGTACCAGCATATGTCAAGGATACTTTCTGGGCTGGTATATCCACTGTTCGCCGCAGTGAGCGGTTGGAGGCCTTTTTTGATGGATACATTACACCAGAGACCACAATTAAGACATTTATTGAACAATTTGATACTGCTATGAAGCTTAGGTCTGACCGAGAAGCGTATGATGATTTTCGCTCATTTCAGCAAAGGCCTCAAGTCTTGTCTGGTCTACTCTTTGAGGAGCAATTTGCAAATGTTTATACAATAAATATGTTTCAGAAGTTCCAAGATCACTTGAAGCAGCTGATGAACGTGACTTGCACTGAAGTCAGTAGGAATGGATCAATAGTGACTTACACTGTGACCGTCATTGGTAAGGAGAGGAAGTATGACTACAAAGTGATGTATAACAGTGCTGAGAAAGAGGTGTGGTGTATCTGCAGGTCCTTCCAGTTTAAAGGTATTTTGTGTAGCCATGCTCTTGCTGTCTTGAGACAGGAACTTGTGATGCTGATACCTTATAAATATATTCTCGATCGCTGGAGGAAGGACTACAAATGCCCCGAGGAATCCAAGGAAACTCCCATCTCACCAAAAGCGATCAAAGCTACAGGGAAGGGCACAAAACCGGAAAATGCCCGTGAAGATAAAGTGGACAATCTGTACAAGCATGGTCACCAGTACTTTGCTGACATTGTGGAAATGGGAGCAACGGACCCTGATGCAATGGAGTATGTTTTGTCGGTCATGAAAGAAGCCAAAGAGAAGGTACGGAAGTTCGAGGAATCTCGAAAAGATAGAAGGCCTGGAGACAGTCCAGTTTCTACTGGTAAGAGAAATGGCAAGTCTTCAAGACCATCCAATGAGGATGGGGGCAATGGCATATCAGATTCAACACCTGCGACTACAACAGTGGCGACAGTCGCGGTGGCCACATCTACAACAATGCAGGCAACGCCTACAATGGTGGCTATAGCGCCTACTTCGGCAACTGTGCCCGCCGGAATGTTTTTGGTACCAATGCACCCACATCCGATGGTTTTCCCACCTTTCACCCCTGCAGTACCACCAGTGGTAGCACCTGCAGTGCCACCTCCAGCACCAGCAGCCAATGTGGGTGATGTGGCTTCCAACTCCACAAGGAAGAGAAAGAAAAGAAAGGGGAACAAATGATGTTCCTAATACTGATTATGTAAGCGCTTCACTTTGCCGCTTCTCCTTTTGTGCTGTACTTTGCTTTGTGGTGTTGATTTATTCAGATAATCTCATCGTGCCCTTACCCCGTATTTTTTGTTCCAGGCCTAACTCAAATTTAGTCCTACAAGCTGCACCAGGCCCTCCTGTCCATGTGTAATAATGGTTTATCATCGTCTCCTGCTGCAGGATGATCTGCCCCTCTGAATGCTTTCTGTGAATTATCCCCCTTGACTTGGAACTGTCCGTGCAGCTTTGGACTGTCTACTGTAAATTGATATGGAAAGTAATGTATTATGTATGTAGTGCAGCTTAGGAATGTTAGTCTCTGTTTCTGCTCATGTGGATTGCGACCTGGAGCAGCGCAGTACCAAGACTACCAGTAGCGTAGCAGTACCCCTTGCTGGTTGGTAGAGTACCATTTTCTTTCCTTTCTGGAGTTTGTCACTTTATGTAATGATGTAATCACACTGAACTTTATTGCCAACCACTAATGCTTAGTTTCATCTTATGCCGTTGGCTGTTGCACTGAGCCCTGAGCATTATTTTCATCGTATGCAAGCTCACCATTTCTTGTCATACTGAAAATCGATCGTGCATATGGTATGAGAATGGTTTTTCAGTTTTCTGAAAATTGATCGTTCACATGTTATGAGAATGGTTTTTCAGCAAGCATATGTAGAATTGTAGATTACCGATACAAGGAGTTGACCCAGGAAGGCAGGAATAGTATTTCAGCATCCGTGGTGCGTAGGATACTTCACTTCACCCTAAGGAGTTGGCCCAGGTGACTCAATTATCAAGCCATGTTTTGACTTGCCCGATTATACTCGTAACAGCCACAGATACGACACTTGACGCGGCTCCAAGAACTCCTGTGTATATTATTCTCCTGCATCAATCCTCCAGATGAAGAAACCAACAGTCACATACTCCATCCGTTTTAAAATATTGCAATTTAGTACCGTATTTGACATAACCTAACCTATTAATCTAGACATCTCTATTACAATCTTGATCAGAGTCGTAGTAGATTATATCAAATAAGATACCACATTGCTATATTATAGAAAAGATGATGTGCTTATTGTCTTTAATCCTTGTTAGACTGTCTACGCAGACGTAGATTTCCTTTTAAATACGAGGGTAGTTTTTTAAACAATAAACTACCTTTCATAGAGTTCTCATAAAATTCTAAGCCAAAATATAAATATTGAACCTTAATTTTAGATTAATCTAAAGCTTCTTTTAATCATTTTCTTTTTCAAGCCTTCACCTTGAAACCGCTAGAGTAAAAATATAAAAGTTTCATTCTAAATTTATTGTTACCTTTATTTGAATTATTTTATTTTCTATGGCATATCAGTCACGAAATAATATTTCTAACCTCTGATGCATTATTTACGTAGAAAAACTGCAAATGTACCATACTCACTCCGTCTAAAATATAAGAGATTTTGGATGGATGAAACACAACATAATATTACAAATTTGGACAGAGAGCATGTCCAAATTCGTAGTATTAGGATGTGTGTCCCATCCACCCAAAATCTTTTATATTTTTAGGGTGGAGGGAGTATAATCCATGTCTCGATGACTTCATATGCTACCCCTGGACAGGATGTACCCTCATTTTTTTTTGCATGTCACTCAAATAATTATGAAAAACTTTGAGAAGATGTATTAATATGTGATATATCCACAAACATTTTCAAATTCAACTTCTACATTTCGCAACGAAAAAAAAACAAATTTGACTATGAATATATGTTAATTAGCTGTAGTTTAATTTGTTTTTTTCGAGATGTAAAAGTTTAATCTGAACTTGCATGTATATGGAGTGATATACATTCATATTCGTATCTTTTTCATAATTATTTGAGTAATATACAACCAACAAGAGAGAACATCCTCTCGAGGGATTAAAATAGTTTCCATCCTACCAGCTTGTTAACGGGCCAAACGTCACCATTATGAGTCATGACATGGGGGAGGAAGAAGGGCCTATTCACTTAGATGCTAAAAAAACATTACCAAATTTTGGCATTGCCGAAATTTTGGCAACTGTGTTTGCCAAAATTTTTGCAGGATTTCTTATATAACTACCAAAACTTGGCAGCAAACTAAATATAACCACTTTTTAGCAATTTTATTAAAATTTGATAAGGTTAAAAATTGACATTGCAGTGATCAGGCCCGAAAACTTTCGACGACGAAGCCGCACAACCTGCCTCGCCCTCGCGCCCTGCCATGCCATGCCATGCCATGAACGAGCGGGAAGCTCTAGAAGGGCCGGAATTCAAAGCCGCGACTCCTCCCCTAAACCTGGCCAAATGGGCCGTGCCAAGCCGGGCCGGCCCGAGCACGGCAGTACTGTAGCCGGCCCAGGCCCGGCACGGCACGCCAGCCTGTGGGCCGTGCCGGCACGGCCCGTTATCCCGTGCCGTGTTTGGGCCGATGCCTCAGCCCGTGGGCTGGCACGGCACGGCACGTTTACTGTAGCGTACCGGCACGGCACGGCCCAGGCATGGCACGGCCCACCGGCCCATTTATTTTTCCTACGATTTTCTAATTTTTCCCATATATTTCTCATATTTTTTATTTTTTTCCACATTTTATCCTATTTGTACCATATATTTTATGATATATTTCCTAAATTTTCCTCACATTTATCCTATATTTATCATTTTTTCCTTTATATTATGTTTTTTCTGCCTTTTTCTTTTTTTCCCCTCAAATTTCAATTTTTATGGGCCACATGTACTAGTGGGCCGGCTACCAGCCCACGTGCCACTACAGTAGCCGTGCCGGCCCGGTACGGCCCAGCACCTTCTTGGGCTGTGCTTGGGCCGTGGCCTTGGCACGTGGGCCGGCACGGCACGGCCCGCTATAGGAGCCGTGCCTAACGGCCCGTGTCCTAGTGGGCCGTGCCGTCGGCGTGCCGTGTCGTGCTGGGCCGGGCCGCCCGTTTGGCCTGCTATATCCTCCCCCCACCCCCACCCCTACCCGCACCCGTAACTCCCCCGCCGCGTCGTCGGCTCTCACTGACACCCTCTGGCCCACGCGATTTCCCTCGCCCGCCGCGCCCCTATCCGCCACGTGCCGCGTGTCGCGCCTCCCCCCTCCCGCCGCGTGCCCCCTCCCCCCGCCCACGTCATCACGCCCACACAGAGTTAAAACTCCACCACCACCCTCGCCACCAACCTTTCCCACTGCCCCACTGCACCGCGCTCGCTCGCTTGATATCGATCGATCTCACCATGCGGCTCTACCTGTACGTGATCGAGGCGCGGGGCCTCCCGGAGCACGGCGGCGATGGGGGCGGAGGGCCGTACTACGCGAGGGCGAAGGTGGGGAAGCAGAGGGCGCGGACGCGGGAGGTGGAGGCGCGCGGCGGCGGGGCGTCGGCGGCGGCGGCGGAGTGGAACGAGGAGCTGGTGCTCGAGGTGGACGGGGGCGAGGCGGTGGAGGTCGGGGTGGCGCGGCGGCGGGAGGGCGGCGGGCGCGGCGGGAGGGAGGTGGTGGGCAGGGTGAAGCTGCCGGTGCCCGCCGCCGCCGTCCCCGCGGGGAGGAGGAGAAGGACGACCGTGCCGCCGACGTGGTTCACGCTGCAGCCCAAGCACCACCGCCGCTGGAAGAAGGGCGCGGCGGAGGCGGCGGATTGCGGTGCGTACACGCATTCTCTAGCTTTGATTATCGAAGTAAATTACGTGTGATTCCGTCCGTACTTTGGGTTAATCCGCTCCCTTCTCGAATCGGTCGGCGCGCGGCGCGGCGGCCGACTTTTTGGTGAAGCTACCAGTATCTTTGTTAGCTTTGCCAAATGCAGCACGCAAGCTCGTAGTAAGAGGGATTAGCATGCTGTTATACGGAATGAAAACTTAGGGTGCGTTCGTTTCATGGACAATGAGTGGAGATAGCACATCGTTTTCCGCGCGCACGCTTCCCAAACTACTAAACGGTGTGTTTTTTGCAAAAATTTTCTATAGGAAAATTGCTTTAAAAAACCATATTAATCCATTTTTGCAATTTAAAATAGTTAATACTCAATTAATCACATACTAATGGCTCATCTCGTTTTGCGTATCTTCCCAATCTTCTCGATCCCCTATCCCTCAAACTCACCCTAGTAGCTTTCGAAGTCATTCGTAATTGTTTTTTTTCATTCCAGCGTAGTTCGACGACGTCTCTTTCACGGCTGTTCTTTTACTGAGACTCGTGCTGACCAGCAACGACATGCTCTTTTAATTTGCACTGTTTGCACAATTAATCATGTAGCCAGCTTAGGCCTTGTTTGGTTACACAAGAATTCAATCCGGGTCAGGAATAATAAGTATAGTAAGAAATTTATGATAGATATAACGAGAGACCGGGATTTATTCTGAGTCGGGAACCAATTTAATCATGATAGAGACAATAAGAGACCGGGAATCAATCCACTAGTCAAGAGGTGTGGAACTAATCCGGATATTTTGTTGTACCTAATATGAGTAAATTGGTTTCCGACCGGGAATAAATCACGGTCTCTTGTTGTACCTATTATAAATTTCTTGTTATACCTACCGTTCCCGGCCTGGAACGAATGCTTGTGTAACTGAACAAGGGCTTAAGGTCTTCGCAGCATCTGTCCTAAACTAGGGTGGTGTTTGGATTCAGGGACTAAATTTTAGTGTCATTAGTCTACGTTTAATACTTCTAATTAGTGTCCAAACATCCAATATGACAGGGATTAAAATTTAGTCCTTGGATCCAAACAGAGCCTAGATTTGGATACATACTAGTGATCTATGATCAGCAAGGGACTTGAGCAGGCTACTGCGCACATAATTCTCGAGAGTTATTTGAACAAATAGTCTTAATACGATGCAGGAAACCAGGATCAAATTCAGTGTTTGCCAGACAATTAACCATTGTGTCTCAGTTTATAGTAGTGCAGTGTGAGGTGTGATCCACTGATTCCCTTTCAGCTGGGAACGGCCTAGTTTCGGTTGTATACACACACATCCCCGTTTGGTGTACACATTAACTCCTCTGCTTTTTTAATATATGACACTGATGACTATTTGTCTTAATAAAAAAATTATGCAAAAAAAATGTGCTTAAAGTATGATAAAACAAGTCGCAATAAAATAAATGTTAATTACGTATTTTTTTAATAAGATGAATTGGCAAACGTATGTCCAAAAGTTAATGACATCATATATTGAAAACGGAGAGGGTGTTCTTCTCCTTCAGGTGAATGTTCTGCTGATATGTTGTTTTTTGTATGGTTGTGAACCAGGGAAAATTCTTCTCACCTTTTCACTGCATGGAGAAAACAGCGACAATACTGTTATCCACTCATCACCTTGTTCGAGCTCTAGGAGCGACACTGACATTGAATTTGAGAGATCAACTTATTGGGAACATTCAAGTTCCAACAGTGGGACGGTTGATTCTCCCAGGAGTTTTGCAATAGAACGATCTTCTTTAGAAAATTCTGACCGTTCAGCCCAAGCAAATTCCAATTCCAACTCTGAAGATGATGATCTAACAGAGCCTAGTGCAGCAACAGCAAAGGGCACAAGTGACATCGAACCAATGGTTCCAGATGCAAGCTTTGAAGAAGCTATGGAAATCATGAAGTCTAAAAGCATCCCTGACATGCCAGAAGATCTTAATGGTGGTGTCATGTTCGATCACACTTACCTTGTGGACTCGAAGAATTTGAACTCTCTTATCTTTGGGCCTGATTCTCAGTTCTCCAAAGAGTTGCGCGAGTTGCAAGGAACTATGGACTATGAGGAACAGCCATGGACATGGAACAATAATAATCCTCCTAGCTTAACCAGGACATGTCAATACACCAAAGGTGCAACAAAATTTATGAAAGCCGTCAAAACTATTGAAGAGCAAACATATCTTAAAGCAGATGGCAAGAGTTATGTAATTATGACTCGTGTTCGTACTCCCGAGGTTCCATTTGGAAATTGTTTTGAGGTTGTTATGCTGTACAAAATAATTCACTACCCTGAGTTGTCGTCAAGTGAAGGAATGTCACATCTGACTGTATCATACAATGTAGAGTTCCTTCAGAGTACCATGATGAAAAGTATGATTGAGGGAAGTGTTCGGGATGGACTGAAAGAAAATTTTGAAAGTTACGCAGAAATTTTGTCTCGGCATGTAAAAATTGCTGATTCTGCTGGGATGGATAAAGAGCGATTATTGGCACCGCTCCAGACTGATCATCAGTCAGATATCAGACTTGCTTACAAGTATTTTTGCAATTTCACAGTCATCTCTACAGTGATAATGGCACTGTATGTTCTTGTACACATCTTTCTGTCAAGACCAGGCCCTCTTATGGGTCTTGAGTTCAAAGGTCTTGATTTACCTGACACGTTTGGAGAGCTGATCATATCTGGCATACTAGTTCTTCAGCTAGAACGTTTACTGAGTATGATATCTCGTTTTGTAGAGGTAAGGGTACAGCGAGGTATGTTTGTTTTCTTTGTTGTGCATTTACTGTATTTCTCGTGCACTAGACATGCAAATTAACATAAAGTCATAACTATGCTAACTATGTATCTTCTTTTGTCACAGGAAGTGATCACGGGATTAAAGCAAATGGAGATGGTTGGTTGTTAACTGTAGCTCTGCTAGAGGCCACAAGCTTGCCGCCTGTCTCTAGCGGTTCCGTAGATCCTTATGTTGTGTTCAGCTGTAACGGCATAACACGAACAAGCTCTGTGCAACTTCAGACTCATGACCCTCAATGGAACGGTTAGTAGATTTCACACGTTAACTCACTAATCTCCTATCTTAATTTAATTCATCATCTATTACAAACTGACAGAACATTTCAGAGATAATGGAGTTTGATGCCATGGAAGAACCACCTGCTACGTTGGATGTTGAGGTTTTCAATTTTGATGGACCATTTGATCTGGCAGTTTCTCTGGGACATGCTGAAATTAACTTCCTTAAACACACGTCAGCAGAACTAGCAGATATATGGGTGCCACTGGAAGGTAAATTAGCTCAGACTTGTCAGAGTAGGTTACATTTGAGAATATTTCTGGAGAACACAAAAGGACCTGAGACATCAATGAGAGAGTACTTAAGTAAGATGGAGAAGGAAGTTGGTAAGAAGGTAACTTCCGACTAACTTGTTCCTGGGTACTGACTCTTAACTAATAATTAAACCTCTTGATGATGCAGTATTTGTATTTATATTGCAGTTACATGTTCAGTCACCTCACAGAAATGCAACGTTCCAGAAGCTTTTTGGTTTACCACACGAAGAATTCCTTATAGCAGTTTATGCGTGCTCCTTGAAACGGAAGTTGCCGTTGCAGGTATGATTGTTCCCTTCTCTGTGTTGAGGATTCAGTTTGAGCACATTGCGGTTGACATGATATGAAATCAATCCTAGAATTTTACTTTGAAAACATTGTTTTACTTAATAATCCAATATCACCTTATACTACTCTTATGTCTTCTTTTGGACCATTACAATATGAAAACATCAGGTCATTCACATATTATATCTGTGGATATTAATATTAGTAGTAACTTGCAGTTGCTTCTGATGCAGGGAAGACTGTTTCTGTCAGCCAGAATAGTTGGTTTCTATGCCAATCTGTTTGGACATAAAACGAAATTCTTCTTTCTGTGGGAAGATGTCGAGGAAATCGAAGAGTTAACTCCATCTTTCACAACAGTAGGTACTCCATCTTTGTTGTTTGTCTTGAAGAGCGGCCGGGGACTCGATGCCAAGAATGGTGCAAAGTCCCAAGATAAGGAAGGCAGGTTGAAGTTTCAGTTCCATTCGTTTGCTTCATTTAGCAAGGCTAGCAGGTTGTTTTATCTCTTCCTAGCTTTATTACCAGTATTTTTTTTTTGATAAAGGAAGCTTTTATTAATCTCAGACGATTACATCAAGTTGATAGAACCATACTAAGAAAAATAAGATAAGGAGAATCTATTTGACGAGAAAACTATCTGTTCTTCATTGTTAGGACAATAATTGGACTATGGAAAACCAAATCATCAGCTATTGAACAGAGGGCTAAACTAGAAGAAGATCAAGAAGATGAAAACTATGTCGATCTTAATGATGTTCAATCTGTATTGAGCATTGGAGATGTGCCACTGTCAAAGGAGTATACTTTGGAACTGCCTATCGATGTGAGTTTTCTGCTTCATTAGTTCTTCTGCTGATAGAATTGCGTTTGTTTCTCCCCCTTTTTAGTGGAAGAGGCTAGATAAGTTATACAGTACTTGTGTAAACATGGATGTGAATTTTCATCCCTCGAGGGTATGTCCTTTCATTGCTTGCATGTCATATAAATAGTTATAAAAAATTGAAAAAAAAAAAACAAGATAGATTAACTAGTGGCGTTCTTGCATTTAACGATCACTTGTCAGTGTACTTCACTCCTGGGATTCGTTTTTCTGTACAGCTGCACTGCTTGAATATTTTCGTTTATACTCGAATTTCTCCAACTTTGGTTGAATTACATTCAAATCAGTTCAAAATTCAAACACATGTCGGTGGGATTTTGTCCGACCTCCCAAAATCTTGTACTTCCACAGATAAGATCCTAACCCATGCTTGTCAACCAACACGCTGTTGTGCCACCACCATCTGCAGTCTGCAGAAACCCCCGTTTTCCATCGTCCCTTTGTACTTTGTAGTACTACATGGTTGTCACTTGTCAGCACGCTGTTGTGCGCCACCGTTCCTTCGATCGCTTTCTGTACTGTACTCACAATTGTGTGTGCATCGCAGGCGGATCTGCTGATGGGGGTGTTCGACGGGGGCCCCCTGGAGGCGAAGGCGATGAGCAGGGCGGGTTGCCTCGACTACGCCGCCACCCCGTGGCAGGACGCCCGGCCCGGCGTCCTGGAGCGGCACGCCAGCTACAAGTTCAACCGCTACATGTCCATCTTCGGCGGCGAGGTCGTCAGCACCCAGCTCAGGCTCCCCTCCGACGACGGCGACGGCTGGACCGTCTACGACGTCATCACGCTGCGCAACGTCCCCTTCGGCGACTTCTTCCGGGTACGCACCCAACAAATCACAACCACAACCACACCTATGAACTCTCACGTACTTACTACGAGTCCTCACGTTGGATGCTAGTGCTTGCTGTAGCTAAGATGTCGTCATGCCACTGTTTTTTCCTCTCCTTTTTATTTTGGTGTGGTTTGAGGAGAGTGGTTAGCTAGGCAAGTGGCCGTGAGTGAAAGGGTGGTTATGCTGATAGTGGTTAATATTAAGATATTTGCATCTATCCAGTAAAAAGTACCTCGAGATACAAATCGTTTATGGTTAGATCTAATAATCGGAAACGATTTATTACCGTACTAGTATCTAGATTTACTTTTTATTGGACCGGAGAAAATCTCTAATATTAATGTATTGTGTGCGCGATTAATTTGATTATAATGCAGTTGCATTTGAGGCACAACATATGGAGCGTGGAGGCCGCGTCGTCGGAGGCGGCGGCGAGCAGCGGGAGCCGGTGCGAGATACTGGTGGGGATCGAGTGGGTGAAGAGGAGCAAGTTCCAGAAGAGGATCGCGAGGAACATCTGCGAGAAGCTGGCGCACAGGGCGAAGGAGGTGCTCGAGGCGGCCGCCAGGGAGATCGCCCCGGCCTTGTCGGGCTAGCGAGAAGCTGGAGGAGACGGCTGTTTTTTCTTTTTCTTCCAGCAAGGCCGCAACGGAGAAGATCTCTGCAGAGGAGCAGAGTGCACGACTGAACTGTGTCGGCTTTTGCCTTGGCTGTAGCGTAGTAGTATCTCCAAAACAGAACGAAACAAATAGGAATACGGAGATGTATACCAACTACAGTATATACGATATCTTCAAGAAGTACACATGATCCCAAAAAAGTGTACAAGTGTCGAGCCCGAACCGAGCTGTGCGTGCGCGCGCGTGACCAGCCGGCCGAATTCCGGTGGTTTTTCCTCGTGTCGAGCCGGCACGATGTGGTGGGAGGTGGCCAACTGTTGGTAGATCGGGCGATGCCGTATTGAACATGGGCGTGACTTCTCGTTGGATAGACAAGATCATCATCTGCGGAACGTGGGTGCATGCGACTTCCTGGTGCTGTTGATCTGGCCACCGCAGTACCGCACCGCTCATGGGGAGAGTCATGGTGGTGGCGCTCGGTTTGTATGGATTTCCAAGTGTACATTCCTGAGGTGTGCATCCCTCGGTTTCATCTTAGGTGTACAGGCTTGAATGCTAATCGAGTTACTCATCATAAAAATGTCTAATTCTATATAAAATGTTATATTTATAGGTTTTTATCATTGTTAATCACATAACCAGTTTCTCGGCAAAATCTATATGATTAAGGCACGCTTGAATAGAAGTTTTATCTGAGATAAGAAAACGAGCCTTATAACACTTTCTCGATCACTTTAAAAGAATAAATAAATGTATCGGATCTCTAACACCGTGAAGACCGTATGGATCAGTCTGCAATTGCAAATGAATTACAACTAGAAGTGAACTTGCTAACGAAACGAGAAAATTGGCTTACGACATTATAAAGCTTCAAACTGTACTACAAGTCTACAACAACATTGAATTGTGCTAAAAAATCGGATGATATAAATTTGAACTCTGATTTTTTTTTCTTTTGGTACGAACAGAGACCAATTTCCCCTCGAGCTCAGCCTCAGAGCCGGCGCTAGGCAAAGGGGAGGGCACCCAACTACTACAGTACCCAAGTCGTNCGCGCCGCCGCCGCCTCCCCCCAAAATCGCCCAAAATACCACCGAGCCAGACGCCACTACGCCATAAAAGCAGCCTTCACTCTCGTCTCCTCCTCCGGCGCCGATCCCCTCCCGAATTCCGCCATGGATCCGGCGCCGAAGGCCCACCCCATCCTCTCCTACGTGCTCTCCCGCCTCCCCACCCTCGCCAAGGCCCGCCCGGCCGGCGGCGGCGGCGACTTCGACATCGAGCAGCCGCCCGTGCACACGCCGTCGCCGCGGACGCCCTCCACCGCGGGGGAGTTCGAGCTCGTGGAGCGTATGCCGGGGCTGCGCCACCCGTCCGTGCTCCGCGCCATGACCCGCGCCGTCGCCGACGTGTCGGCCGCGCGCTCCGCGCTCCAGGTCCTCGGCCCGCGGCCCGACCACGAGCTCGTCGACTCCTCCCGCGCGATCGTCGCCGCGACCGACGCCGAGGCCGGGGGCTCGCGGCGGGTCCCCGAGGGGGACCTCGAGGCCTGCCGCGCCGTGGTGCGGCTCGAGGAGACGCACGACGCCTACGAGGCGCTGCTGCAGGAGGCCGAGGGGAGGCTCGAGGCGGTGTACCGGTCGGCGATGGAGGGGAAGGACCTGGAGGAGCCCGACGGGAGGGACGAATCGGCGGCGGCAGCCGCCGGGGATGATGCTGCGGTGCAGGAGGAGGTGATCGCGGTGCTGAGGCAGGCCGAGGAGGGCAAGCCGGTGGAGAGCGTCCGCCTCGTGGACCGGCAGCTGCGCCACCTGCCGGAGGCGTTCGGGAGGATCCAGGGGCTCCGCGTGCTCGATGTCTCGCGCAATCAGCTCGAGGTGAGAAATCTGTTATCTCCGCATGCTTTAGATCTGCTTGTTTAGAACCCTGTAACCCAAACAATGCTTGTACTGGGTTTTGTACGCATTTAGACATCTGAACGGATGGGATTTTTCTCTTCTGTACTGTGAAATTGTGAATTGATGGATTGAATCTTATGTTGAAGATGATCAGAAATATAGGGCCATATGCAAAATGTGTACGTGAGCGATAAAATGCCTGTTTTGTGGTGTTGCACACATTCTACCATTTGAACTGTATGCTGAAAATAGTTTGGGCACTGAATTTTCGGTAGGATTGTGTTTTTTGTGTGTGTGTGTTATGGTATGGTCAGTTCCTATTATTTTTAGAGTCCTCAAGACTGCGCATGTACTATTTTCTTTATAGATTTACTAGTACAACTTATTTATTGGTGATGAAACAGTTACTATCTTAGGCCTTAGGATGTAAATAGTGAAACACTGTATGTTAGTATTTCTTTTTGCTGTTTTTATTTGATTACTAAATTAGGCTATGGGTGGATGAGTGCTGAAAGTTATGGATATAGTGACCCACTAGTCTTGTTTTAGAGTACTGAGAGTTAGCTGTTGACCATCTACAGTCTGAAACTCAGAATAACTGGATACTAGTATGTAGTAAGTATTGACAGAACAAATGTAGAACTGGTAGGAGCTTGGCGTGTATGTAAATTCCTGATTAGATTGTGGATTCACTTTCTAATATCATCCTGTATTTAATGGTTGGCTTGGATCATTGGAAAATCATAGGTAAGAGTAGGGAAGGCTGGCTTTGTTTTGAATTTTGGCCACTTCCTCTATATCCGTGTTTACATTGATGTTTAGAAATTTCTTAGTTTATTTTTGGGATATTAGGTTGTGCTCATTTGAGTTTAAAAATAGACAAACAATTAAGCACATACTAACTATAATTATTTTCTTTGATAAACCTTTATACTCAGTTATTTAAAGATAGACATAAACAGTTAAGCGCGTACTAAATATAATTATTTTCTTTCATAACCCTTTTATCCTCAGTGGCTTGCCTGGTCATATTTCCATAGCGACATACTGTACACATTTTGTTAAGTATGTTGTTGTTGTGTCCCTTGCTTCATTGGTGAATCAATGTGATTGTAGGTTATTCCAGATGCTATAGGAGGACTTGATCATCTTGAAGAGCTTCGTCTTGCTTCCAATGCCTTGATTTCTCTTCCTGATTCCATTGGACTGCTATTGAATTTGAGGATTCTGAATGTGGGAAGCAACAGGCTAAGGTCATTGCCAGATAGCATCTCAAAGTGCAGGTAGATAACTTTCTTTAGCTTAACTCTTGGGTTCAGCAAATGTTACTGTTCAAGTGACTGATTGGTGCAACTCCAGGTCATTAATTGAGCTTGATGCGAGCTACAACGGGCTCGCTTATCTGCCAACCAACATTGGGTATGAGCTGGTAAATCTGCGGAAACTCTGGGTCCATATGAACAAGTTGCGGTCACTTCCATCATCTATCTGCGAGATGAGATCATTGTACCTCCTGGATGCACATTTCAATGAACTATGTGGTCTGCCATCTGCCATAGGGAAACTTTCAAGTCTTGAAATTCTGAACCTGAGCAGCAACTTTAGTGACCTGAAGGATCTCCCTGCTTCTTTCGGTGACCTGCTGAATCTGCGCGAGCTTGACCTCAGCAACAACCAGATCCATGCTCTTCCCGACAATTTTGGTCGGCTGGATAAGCTAGAGAAGCTCAACCTGGAGCAAAATCCCCTTTCTATGCCGCCAATGGAGATCGTGAACAAAGGCGTGGACGCGGTGAAAGAATACATGTTGCAGAGGTGGCTTGACATCTTGCTCGAGGAAGAACGGAAGAGCATCGCAGCAGCGGAGAGCCCTCAAGCACCGACCACTCCTTCGGCCTGGCTGGCACGCAGCGTCTCCTGGGTCTCCGACGTTTCCGGAAGCCTTGTGGGGTACCTCAGTGGCGAGAACAAGACGGAGAAAGATGCCTACCTGGATCAGCAGTACTGAAAGCGCTCACCTGTGTGGTGTTTGTGCACCGTGTACATACTATAAGCGTTCCATGCTTACCATCTCATCTGGGAAAATCGTTTTGTGTTCCTGGTGAGTCGAGCCATACACTCGTGCTAGGCTTGCATCCCCCAAAGCAGGCTTTGGGGTTTATTTTGCCCGTTTTAACTTCCGGACGTCCTTTTCATAGCTTCACTTGTTACAGTATTATATTACTTTGTCGAATAATAATGTGGAGACAAATATGACCGGAGAGTGCGCTCAAGAATATCAATGCTTTAGAGCTTTAGGCCTCAATGTTTCGACCTGTGCGTTGTGCTGGAATGGAAGCGGCGGCCGTGTTAGTACAGGTTGCCGTCGCCGGCAATTGTGATTCACGTTTTGCTCATCCGTTTCTTGGCAATTGCGATTCATATTTTGCTCATCGTTTCTCGATCTCCTTTCTGTGTATCACGTGTTTTCAAAATTTTGCAAATACTGTGTTACACGTCGCTATCGCGTACGAGAATTCTCCCAAAACCCAATCACTTTCAACATACTCCCCACCAACAAAAGGGGAGAAACCGAACCAGCAGCAACGTCCACGATAATAGCGCAAAGAACCAGACGAGCAACACAAGTTTAATACATCATATAGCATAATAAACAACTAGTAGGTACGGTACTTATTTCGATTACACACCGATGATTAGAAGTCTTTAAACACCACTACTGGCACTACACCAGACCCTCTAAGGTTGCTGGCGAGTAGGGGTAGCACAGCAGCACGAACGCCGCTTTTAACTAGGTAAGCTATTTATAAATATACTACGGTCTATATCTTGGATACTGCAAGGTGCTCAATAGCTGAACACGACGAGGTCATCACTGGCCCTTCTAGGAGGGGCAAAAAAGATTCACGGCCACATGCTTCCTCGCCGTCCTTGGTGAGCGCCTTGTTCATCTCCGTTCTGATCAGATGCCCTGATGGGGAAATAAGAAGCAAAGGTTCAGATTAACTCTTACCCGCAATGACAAAATATGGTGCATAGGAATGAGACATCCTGAACTTACCAGTTCGTGCAGTTCATCATGGAGTGCATCCCATTCGAGGATGCCACAGAGTTCATCAATGGACTGCTCCAGGTTGTACTCGTTCCGCCTAATTATTTCCTTGTTCAGGTCGACTTGCCCGAAGCCCATCTGCCCCAGCTCTCTCAGCATGTTGTCCTCCACGGCACTGATGTGATCAGATGAAGGCTCGGTAGGCAGGCAAGAAGCAGCGCGAGCAGTTGCAGAGGGCATTCCAATGGCAGCAGCAGGTGCAGTGGGCTCACTGATAGGAGCAGCAGCAGCTCCGACAGGTGCAGCGGTAGTCGCACTAACAGGAGCAGGCGCAGGTCCAGATGCAGGAATGCTAACAGGTTTTGGCAGGGGAACGGCTTGAGGTGCAGGTCCAGGCGTGGCAGCAGGCTTCGAAGCCTTTTCAGCTCCAGCAGATGAAGTGAGGAGATCAGTAGCTGGCACTAGCACTGATTCAAATGCTCTAGGTACAGAAGGTACGGCACTTGAAACAAGCTCAGGTTCCATCGGTTTGGTGGCTTCATGGTATAGTGCATGTGCAAGAGGATCAGTTATGGTGCTTCCAGAGTATTTACCCACAATATCTGCAGACTGAATATTTGCATCAACAGAATGCTTCCATTCTGTGTTGCTTCCTTCTGGGGGCATGTTCAAGTTTATAGCAGCACTCTGCTTGTTGCTACTGGTTTTGACCGGGTGCTCCACCTGCACATGAATTTGGAATCCAAATGATCAGATAACAAAGGAAGTGCCAAAGCCAATGAGGACGAAAAAGCAATCTATGGTGGAACAAACCTGAATAAAAACCCAAACTCGCTGACCAAACATCTGGCCAGTGGGTGATGCCAATCTCCAGTACGACACGTACCCACCAGGCTTTGCAGGTGTGACAAAATCAACACCAACATCGATCTCTTGATCAATAGGGAAACCATCCACCGAGATCTGCACATGCCGAATCAGAGTTAACATTTTAGTGCAATACTGCCTAACACTCTTGACCATTCGTTGGTAGTTATACTAAATACGAAAAGGGTAGGGTGTACCCCTAATTTAACTGAGCTGTTGCGTGCAAATAGATGTCCACCAACCCAGGTAAGACATGTCCCATATGGCCACATGGAAGATCCATTGTTATGTATGCGCCAAATCTTTGTAAATGGGGTTGATGGTGCCATTACTGTTCCATCAGGGACAGTAACATCCTTAATGAAGCGGCAATCATGTAGCTGTCGAAGATGTGGAAAGAGCATCTGGTTCTGAAAAATGGCCAGATGACAGTCAGTTGACACTGTTCTGGAAATGTTTTACGAGAACTATATGATCATGAATTTGAACAAGTTGCTGCTTTCACCTGATTGAGGTCTCTACATCGTCTACTCCCAAAAGATGGTCTGTCTATTCTGGTATATTCATTCACATTGCCCATTCGAGAAAAACAGGTATTGCATAAATCATAATCATCTTTACTGCACGCAAAAAACAACAAATCATGTTAGAATAATGGCTTTTTTTCCTTCCATTCCAATTCAACTTACGATGATGAACTAGAACAACCATTGAACTCAAAACTCACATATTTGACTTGTAGCGAGAACCAGCGATAGGAGTGACCCCACAGCCATCGCACTGTATCCATCTATGCAGTGTGTGCTGCGCCATGCTCTCGTGCTTATCACTTAGATCCCTGTATGGGCACCTATTACAGCTGCTGCCTTCAGAATAAGGTCCATAAAGACCGACTGGTGAGAGATTATCTGGCTTGGATGTGTTACTTTTGCAGGTGCATGGAGGGAAATAGTGACCACCCTTTAGGCTTCTGTCAGCTTGGAGGGACTGAACTGGGTAATGGGAGAGATTCTCAGGCTTAGATGTGCTACTTTTGCAGATGCACGGAGGGTAAGAGCAACCACCCTTGATACTGCTTTTATCAGCTCGGAGAGACTGAAGTGGGTAACGGGGAAACAGTGGTGGAGGAGGGCATGTCGAGTTCAAATCACCACCAATCTGGCCATTAGGCCCAAAGGACTCAGAAGAAAGGCCTAGTTGTGTCCAGAAAAGATCACTTCTTAACCCTTCACCGCAATCTGAAGCAGGAGCAGAATGAACAGTAGGTGCACCATGACCAATGCTAGTAACTTGTGGCACAGCAGAGGATGTAACAGACTTGCCCTTACTTTGGGCATTGGTACTTCCCTTGTTATCAACTTTTACCCAGCCTGAAAGGGTATCCACATAATAAGGATATCCCGATACATGTTCAGCTTGAGCTTTGATGTCATCAAGAAGCACACCCTTAAGACCAAGTGATTTAGTTGATCCAGAGTTATGCATATCCAGAGGGTTCGAAGCTGAAACAGCCATGAGCTCAGTGTCATTTTTAATATTCAAACTTCCCAAAGTTTGTCCCCTACCACTAGAGGAGCCAGATGAACCATCAGCAGAACCACTGGAAGACTGCATTTTGCTCTTTGGTGCCATCAGTTTAGCAAGCCGGTCCAGCAAATCAGCCAATGATGGCGCTGATGATGCAGCTTTAGAACGCAAGTCATGTGATATTTTTGCAAGGACAGTGGGAACTTGTTCTGGTACAAATTTTAAAGCTTCATCGATAGCTAATTTCACCTGAGCCAATTGATCTTCCAGAGCAGTGGACATTACAGATATGGAATCCAATACCTGCTGTTTTGTCTGATGTACCCCATCACTGCTGCTCTTCAACTCAACATTAATCCTAAGAGGGTTCAGTCTCTGACTAATGGCAGCATCACATAAATCACTATCATCATCCAGTATGACAACATCCCCATCCTCATCAGTATAGGTGAGTACAAACTCAGTATCTGGATTGAACTTAAAAGCACTCGCAATCTTTGACCGAAGAGCAGCCAGATTAAGATCAAAGTGCGGACCATTCACAAAAGCAGTGAACCGCTTAAGAGTGCCACCGAATTTTACCTGAAACATCAAGCAAATTAAAAGAGAAATAGATAAGAATAATAATCTAGTAAAATTGCACGAGGTAAACTTAAATAGAACAGTAAGTGGTTTGCTTTGCAGGCAAGATGCTTAAGCAAATGATAACTCAATTCTGTTCTTATCTTAGCAGCTGATCAATGTTGATTCAGTTAACAGTAGCGTCAAAACACAATTCACGGAACCAAATCTCAGCACCTGATGCTACATAAGTACCAAAATTACATGGCATTAATCAGTTAAGGACGACTGCCAAGTTAAGCCGTTGCATGTTGAGGGAAGTGGGTTGTCTTCTACACTGAAGAGATTTATACAGCCATATCATGCAAACCTAAACAGATTTATTCAACCATAGCATGCAAAACTGGAACATTCAACATACCAACAAATTACAAAGGAACATACATCAAAGTGATCAAGATACTCTACAATCAAATCCCCATAGCAAGTACTCTTGTCTAGCTAATCAGAAAAACAAAAAGCCCTGCAATAATCTTGATTTCGAAGGAGTCCTCACAATAATCGCCGGCGTTAAGGACTGATATTTCTACACTATTTTACAATCCCTGCAATAATCTTGATTTCGAAAGAGTCCTCACAAAAATCGCCGCGTTAAGGACCCGATATTTCTACACAGTTTCACAATCGCAAACAATACAGAAACGATCTAATCCTGGGCGCCCAAAAAGATGCAAAATCCATCCTTTCAAGAACAACACTACCACCCGGTCGCATCGCTCCACAACCCAGCACGGGCAACAGAACCCACTCCCCACCTCCCTGCGACAAAACCCCCATGCGCGAGCAAACCAAGAACGCGGCATTCCTAGCACAGAAACACCGCACCCGCGAGGAGCCGGGAAAATAAATTAAAAAAAGAAAGAAAAGAAAACCTCACCTTCACGACGAGATCCCTCTCGCCCTCGCGCGCCGTCGGCGCAGCGTCCCGGCGGCGAGACATCCCGACCAAACGAAGCCCCGCGATGGCGATGGTGGCGTGAGACGAAGACGACGAGGCGGAGGGGAGGAGGAGAAGGAGACGGGTTGAGTCAAGACCTCCCTTTTAATCCGTAAGCAAATTCCGTTTCCTTCGATGGGAATGGAAGGGATTGGGAGGAGGAAATTCACGGGCTTTCGCGGGGTTTTCTGCGTAAATTGTACTGCGTCCTCGACGCTTTTTGGGCCCACCTGTCAGTGAGAGGCGGGTGCCTCGGTGGCGTGACAGGATGAAAAGGGTTGGGGCGTTTTGTAATTCTGGAATTAGTTTAAGTGTGTGCTCGTGGTTTTGTACTATAGTGCTTATCTCATTGTGGGGTCCATTGGTCAGTGGGATCGTATGGATAGGGGATGGAATTATAATATTATACTTGTGTAAATAATCCTTGTAATAACCTAACGGACGACCTCACGAGTCACGACCAAAATACTCCTCCTTGTGGGCTGTGGCAGCTTGCTTCACGTTCACCGTCAGCCCGTCACCGATCTTTCTATGACCTGTGGGCCACAGCGTGAATCTTTGTCTTATCCCCGTTTTGCAGCAGCAAGTCAGCAAGGACGAGTGAATGACCATTGAATGCTGACGAGACCCTCGCAGTTGGGAACTTTGGGGTGCTGGGTTACCTTTACTTGTGGATGTAAAAGTACTACGCGTCGATGCCTCGCCTTGACACGGATGAACTACTGACCACGGGAGGCAGCGAGAGGCCGACAGCTCGGCACCCGCCGCATCTGCGGCGGCCATCCGACTTCGCCGAGGCGAGCCGTCGCGCTCGCTGCGCCCGTGCCCCGGAGATACGAGAATTTCCTTGGCTCGGTCGCGGTCCAGCAGCACAAGCCGAAATCCACGATGCGACGGCGTGGAAAACCCGCATCAGCAACACGCCTTTTCTCAGGCTCTCGTCGTGCTCGCCCCCGTCTCCGTTCCACGGATGCCCACGACACCCCATCCGCGCGCGTGGCGCGGCCCACTCGCGTAGTCGCGTGGATGGCACTTCCACCGGCTCTCGCCTCTCGCGCGGCCACCACCACTCGCGACGCGGGCCGCACGGTGCCACAGCCCACGTACGTTCCCCCGCACGCACGCCACGCGAGATCGAGCCGCGCGGCTCACGGGCCGGACGCACCCACCACGCGCGCCAACGGGCGAGCAGAGGAGAGGAGACGTGCGTCGTCGTGTGTGCCTCCGTGCGAGACGATGTCTGAATCTGAACACCGATCCTTTGCAAAGGTTGGGGCAAGTTAACACGCCCGCACGCTTCGGTCGGAGCAGAAAAGGGCGAGCACTTGGACACTTTGCACAGGCATCAGCTTGGGCGATTAACGGAGAACAAAAAAAGCTTGGACGATTAACACACTGCGTGGTAGCAAAGCATGTCCGTCGCTGCGAGCCTTTGCTGCATGTATATATACACGGATTTTTCTTTCCAGTGGGACTGGAAAAAAGGAAACAGTTCACAGGGCGTAAAGTCCTGTGATTAAAGCGAATACATGCCCGTTTCTTTTCGATATCTTGAGTGCACATAATAATTGTTTTGGTTGTTCTTCTAGATTAGTATACACGTACAACTGAACACGTAGATGAAGAAAGCTTGTGGGCTTGTGGGCTATGGCATGATGGTATATAGTCTTCTCCGGGACCTACAAAATAACACAAATACACACTCAACTGAGCATAAAATGCAAGAGGTGGAGGTGGTTGCAACTTGCATGGAAGCAAATGAGTGGACGGTGGCCTGTGGGGAACCAAAAGAACTTCACCGCCCAAAGTAGTTCGTCTAAGGCCGTGTTTAGTTATTTAGACAAAAATTTTATATGTATACAGATACACATTTAAAATATTAAACGTAGACCAATAATAAAATAAATTACAGACTTCGCCTGTAAACCGCGAGACGAATCTATTAAGTCTAATTAATCCGTCATGATGGCAAATGTTTAATATAGTACCGTATTATCAAATCATGGTATAATTAGGCTTAAAATATTTATTTCGCAATTTACATGTAAACTACATATGTGTGTGTCCAAACATTTAATGCTCTATGCATCTGGACAAGCAGCTGGACAAGCAGCATCACCGCACAGAGTCAATCGTCTTAGAATTGGACAAGCATTTTTTTACACGATGGAAACGGTTTACATCCTCAGTAAGTGACGAACGAAAAAAAAAAACTAGAACCCAATGTATACTAATTACAAAATTATTCACTGATATATTTAATTAATATGGTATAAATTAGACAGAATTGAATAATCTATTCAGGTCCTGTGACCACACGAAGGAGTACGTAGGGACACCAATGTCTCCTACATATGCTACAATGCACAAACACTTCAGTATTTTGGTGTAGAAGTGAAAGCATCTTGAAGGTTACTCATGGCTATCAAGTCTTTACCTTCCTACACAATGAATCTAGAGCAAAACATGCGATGAATTAAGATAAACTATCTCGATTTCATTAAGCAGTCAGCTGGTGGACCTGTGATAAGGAGATTAAGATGCTCGTATCTAGATCCGTCCTCAGTGCAGTACGGCTGAAGTTATGTCCTCATAGTATTTGACATCAACATTTCATCTGCCTAGGGAATATGAGCTCTAATGCTCTCGAGTTTCCTTAAGTGGAATGCCAGCCCAAGTTGTTGCAACTTGCAATTGCAACTGCACAGCGCTTGATCCGAGAAATACAGAAGGTCCGAGGGCCCCTTTGAATCGCAGGGTAGAAAAAACGGATGAATAGGAAAAACACAGGATTCTGACATGAATTGAAGTGTAAAACTGAGGATTGCAAACACACAGTAAAAACACAGGAATGGTCGTTTGATTGGAGCGCAGGAATCGGATGAGAGAGATAGACTCAAAGGAAATTTTCCAAGAGGTTGGAGCTCTTGCTAAATTTCCTCCAAAATCCACATGCAATGTGCCATTCCATAGGAATTTCATAGGATTTGGAAAGCTTCAATCCTTTGAATCAAAGGGCCAAATAGAAAAATTTCCTATAGGATTTGAATCATATGAAATTCCTACATAAATCATTTGATTTAAAGGGGCCCTGAATGTAGCTATGCAGGGCAATGGTCTTCTGAATATTGTATTGGCTAGAACTTCAGGTCAATACATAGGGGAAAGTTTCAGGCAAATTTTCATTACCACGGCCCATTATTTTGTGACAACATCAGAAGAGAAAAGGAGTATTCTGTAGGTCAGTGCAAAATCGAAGTACTGATACCATGCAAAAAGAAAAAAGAAAAAGAAAGGAAACAAAAACAGAGTTCTCGGGACTAATTAAGTAGAAGAACTTTTAGATTTTGATGATGAATATACTCCCCTTTTTTTATAAGAGAACTGATGATGAATGTACCTGAACTGGAGTATTCAAACTTTTCCTCCACATTTTTGGACCACAGTTGATTTCCTTATTGTTTTGTTTACAAAGAAGCACTGCAGCAAAGGCTCCCCAAATTTATTAAACCGCACTCAGTCCACTCAACCTTGGCCCAGCTCCGCAATTAGTTGGACTGGATTGCACAACTGTCAAATCAATGGGCTATAATGAATTTGTTATGCACCCACACACACAAAAATATGAAAAGAATATCGCCATTTCTGAACCTGCACCTGATAAAAACATCTTTACATAGTTCCAGCTTGGTTTATGTAGTCCATCACAAGTCCATTTCACATAAATATTCCGGAAAAATCTGTGTTTTCTAAAAGATAATGAGAATCCCGCCATTTCAGCCTTTCACTCAACAGGAGCTAGAACCTATTATTATTTATCACATTACATCGTATGTCGACAAAATCCACAAAATAACAAGATAACCAAACATTTCAACTCAAGGAAAGAGATAACATAATCCGGAAAATCTCTCGTTCACAAGTTGAATCGACTAGGACTGAAACCCCACTCAGTGACAGGTAATATCTTCTACCGAATGCTGCACAAAAGAGCCAAGTAAACGGAGTGGATTCTAAACTCGAAGGAGATGAAACAATATTGTTTTAAAAAAAATCTACAAGATAAATTTATATGTGTTAAATCACTCCATAAACATGAAAGCTCAAATTTAACTTATGCTCCCTTAGATTAAGTTTTTTTAGAACGGATGAAATACAAGTTAAAAAAAAATCTAACTGCGAAATTCAGCAAATTTTTACTGAATTTTGCTCTCCTCTTCTCACCTCTCACTTGTCATCCCTAAAACTCTCCTGGTCCCCGCCTCCCGCACCACGCCGTCTCCGATCAAGATTCTTCCCTGATCCCCTTGCTGCTGCTGCCATCAAATCCTTGGACATTTCCAGTTGCAAATTTAGACTCTTCCCCCGCGATTCCCAGCACTCCCAAGTCCCATCCTTCCCGCTGCCCCATCCCATCCCACTATCTCCCTAACCACTGTGATTTAACCACCGAGGAGGCGGCAAGAATCGTGTCCAGCTCCGCACCGTTGTTAGGCGGGAGTGGAGTGGACTGGTTATCGTCCACGCAAGACGACGACGACGACGACGACGGCCGGAGCTCGCCGGAGCATCGGTGTCAGAGATGAGGGTCATGAAGCTCGGAAATAGGCCGGACACCTTCTTCTCGTCAGGCCCCGTCAGGTAGTTTTGTAGTTTTGTTCTTGTTCATCGACTGTTACTTCGATCGTTTGGTTGTCGTGTGAATCGTTTTTTGTTTGATCGGTGTTGGTGTTGGTTGCAGGTCGGTCTCCACGGATTTGGCCACTGACATGCAGATTCTTGTGGATGGTTGCCTGTTTCGTCTCCACAAGGTAAGCTGCAAAGATTTTCTTGTGGTTTGCGTCGATCAAGAACTGAATTTTTTTTCTCTGTTTTTTTTTTGGTCTGTTGGATGGAACAGTTTCCTTTGCTTTCCAAGTGCATGTGGCTGCAAGCGCTGTGCGTGGAGTCCGGCGACGGCGGCGGCGCCGTCGAGCTGCCGGCTTTCCCGGGCGGCGCGGAGGCGTTCGAGGCGTGCGCCAAGTTCTGCTACGGCGTGGCCGTCACGATCGGGCCGCACAACGTCGTCGCCGTCCGCTGCGCCGCCGCGCGGCTCGGCATGTCCGAGGCCGCCGACCGCGGCAACCTCGCCGCGAAGCTCGACGCCTTCCTCTCCTCCTGCCTCCTCCGCCGCTGGAAGGACGCGCTCGCCGTGCTCCACTCCACGCGCCGCTACGCCGCGCTCTGCGAGGAGCTCGGCGTCACGTCACGCTGCGTCGACGCCGTCGCGGCCCTCGCCGTCGGCGATGCCTCCGGCGCCGTTCCGGCCGGTTCGTCTTCGTCGTCGCCGCCGTGGTGGGCGCGTGACATCTCCGAGCTCGGGGTTGACCTCTACTGGCGCGTCATGGTGGCCGTCAAGGCGACCGGCACCGTGCACGCGAAGGCCATTGGCGACACGCTCAAAGCCTACGCGCGTCGGTGGCTGCCGATCGCCGCCAAGAACCACCACGCGGCAGAGCGAACCGCCGGCGGCGGCGGCGGCGGCGCGGCCAATGCCGAGCGGGCCACCAAGAACCACCGCCTCCTCGTCGAGAAGATAGTGAGCTTGCTCCCGGCGGAGAGGAACGCCGTCTCCTGCGGCTTCTTGCTGAAGCTTCTCAAGGCGGCGAACATCCTAGGCGCTTCTCCGGCGTCAAAGGCAGAGCTCACGAGGAGGGTGGCGTCGCAGCTGGAAGACGCCAACGTGAGCGACCTCCTGATACCGGCGCCGCCGCCGTGCGCGGGCGGGGTGCTGTACGACGTGGACGCCGTGGTGACCATACTCGAGGAATTCGCGCTGCGGCAAGCGGCGGCGTCGGGGAGCCCGAAGGGCAGCCCGGCGCGCGCGGGCAGGCACCGGCGATCGATGTCGGCCGAGAGCGGTGAGCTCGAGGGGGCGCGCCGTTCGACGTCCATGGCGGCGGTGTCGCACGGCGCGATGGTCCGGGTGGGGAGGCTGGTGGACGGGTTCTTGGCGATGGTGGCCACAAAGGACGCCCGCACGCCGCTCGACAAGATGATCGCCGTCGCCGAGGCCGTGCCGGACTTCGCGCGGCCGGAGCACGACGATCTATACCGAGCCATCGACACATATCTCAGGGTGTGCATGCGCGCGACACTTGATCACGCCGACATTGCCTCGCCATGACTAATCTTAGAATTCTTGATCTCTCTCTCACCGTGTGCCTTTGCTTCTGTGCCACGTGTAGGCGCACCCGGAGATGGACAAGAGCTCGAGGAAGAAGCTGTGCAGGGTGCTCAACTGCAGGAAGCTCTCGGAGAAGGCTTCCATGCACGCGGCGCAGAACGAGCTGCTCCCCCTCCGCGTCGTCGTGCAGGTGCTCTTCTTCGAGAACGCGCGCGCCGCCGGACTCTCGTCCGGGCACGGCAACCGCGTCGCCGCGCGCTTTCCCGGCGACGGCGGCGACGTCAGTGCGCTGCTTGGCACTGGCAGGCCAAGAACGACGGAGGAGAACGGCAAGGACGGGCAGAGCCCCGCCGCCGCCGGGAGCGTGGCGGCGGACGGCGACTGGAGCGTGGAGGGGCTGAGGCGCGCGGCGTCGAGGGTGGCGACGCTGAAGATGAGGCTGGAGGAGGAGGACGGCGAGGACGCCGGCGACGAGGCGTTCGTGCATAGGACGCGCGCGGGGTTGGCACGGAGCGCGTCGTCGCGTGTCACGGCGGCGGCGGGGAGGTCCAAGCGGATGCTGAGCAGGCTATGGCCGACGAGCAGAACCTTCACCTAAGGGGCATCAAGACACTTGAGCAAAGCTGATCCGTACATACCGTGTACAAATATGCTTGAATTTGTAAGTAAAATTTGTTCCCTCGAGATTTGATTTTGTTCCAACTAGTTCTTGAAGTTTGGGGAAGTTGTGTGCACAGATATGACTGCGTGTACACTCCCTCCATTTTTTTAAAAAAAACATTTTGTAAGGACGAATATGAACAAGGGTTTATCCAAATTAATCCCTAAAAATTAATTTGTTTTGGACAGAGCGTGTACATAGTTGGTACAGAGACACATGAAGCTATCCTTCAACTGTTAAAAAAGACTTATTGCTCTTTTGTTGCAACACACTACACACCCAACTCACATCCTTATTAGCTACTGCAGAGACGGAAAGTTATACTTTCATCTTAAACGAAACTCTTAAAGTTTATACTCTCCTAATGCAAGATACAGAACGCGGCTAACTTAGGTCCTGATTGACTGGCTACAGAGGCAGAGTTGCAGAGACAGGAGAGGCCACCAGTGGGAAGCGGATTCTCTCCCGTAACTTTCCTTGACATGGTCACTGACATATGGGCCTGCGAGCGCTGGCGCTCACATGCTAGTCACCACATTCCTCTAACTTTACGTTAGAGCATCCCAATCTCGACGAGTGACTTGGCCTGTCTTGTGTACGTCAATACACTAAAGTTAGTGTATCTTAAGCAAATTTTGAAATAAGAAAAAACTAATTCTATTGACCCCCTCAAACATATATATGTATTGAGTTTTTATGACTCCGTCAGTGGCTGGCCGCGGCTGAACAGTCGCAACATTTTTTCTGTCTTTGGTCTTGATCGACTCGGATGATTGCAGCTGCAGCACAGCCGCCACAAAATTTTGTCTCAGGTCCAGGTCACCTGGTTCTGGTTGGCGGGTGCTGTAGGCGCTGCGCAGGAAGCACAAGCGTGCAGGGCATTAGACAACGCCTGTGTTTGATGGCAAAATTTCCGCTATTTTTTTAATGGCAAAACATCCTTGCCATCTAGGGAGAAAAAGAAAATTTTCGTATCTTAAAGCAAAACGTAGTGCTAAAACCATGGTTTGATACGGAAAACACGTAGCGCTAGCGACTGATATCCACCACCAACAACATCTTCTTGGCCGCTTGCACAAGGTGGTACGCGCGACCGACACGTGTGTCACAATCTCAGGCTGACATATGACCATATTTTCAACATGCGCAACGTTATCAATGATCATAGGCCAAAGGCCAGTCGTAATCCGTCGCTCCAAGGATTGGCCATGTTTTAGCACAGGAGCATAGGACAGGAGTGCACGGTCGGCCAGTCGCTGCCTCACTCCAGTGCGAGAGGGAGATGGACAAGCACACTGCACACAGCCGTGGTCCTCCTCTTGTCACTTTTTAGGGTAAGTTTAGTTCACGCTAAAATTAAAAGTTTGGTTGAAATTAAAATGATGTGATGAAAAAGTTAAAAATTTATTTGTATAGAAAAGTTTTGATGTGATGGAAAAGTTAAAAGTTTAAAGAAAATGTTTGGTACTAAACTCAGCCTTAATAGGTTTATCCCGCATTCTCAGAAAAAATCGTTGTTCCAAACGCCGAAACAATTTCGATGTGAGGGTGAGGCTACGATAAGACTACAGAGCTGTGTGGTATCCACTCACCAGGGAATCAAAAAAATCTCGCGGTGTCAAATCAAATGAACCTGATGAAATCGAAACTGCTGTTACAAATTGTTGTAGCTGTAGCCTGAGCAAAGAAAATACTCCCTCCGTCCTGGAAAAAATAAATCTAGAACTGGATGTGATATATTGTAGTACAATAAATCTAGACAGAGGTACGTCCAGATTCATAGTACTAGAATGTGTCACATATAATACTAGGTTAGTTTTTTATCGGACGAAGGGAGTAGTATGGCAAACCGGGAGCAGCGGCTGTAGACTTAGGCAATGACCAACGCATGGTATAACCCCGTAAAAATGTGATGTTAAGCGGGTTGAAACTACACTTATGATATCCCTCACACAGTGCGAGCCATGCCCTATCTTATTTTCGCGATACAGTACCTGTTAGACAGTCGCATTTTACATTTAAACCTTGGATTATTTTTATTTGCATATACGTCCAATATTTGCAGTATACCTCTAAAAATCACAATCATATATAAGGGCCCACCCCTCCCTCTTCTACCACCTTTCTCCTTCCCCGGCGGCGCGACCTCCCCTCTCCCGTGGCCTCTCCCCTCTCTCTCGTCGGAGCCGCCGCCTCTCTCCTCAGCGCCTCAAGCAGTGGCGGTAGATCAAGCACAATGGCGGCGGATGGAGGCGCAAGAGGTAGGGATCAAGGCGGTGCCGGCAAATCGAAGCAACAACGGCGCAGTTTCCCGAGTATGCCCTTCTCTCCAGTCCACCCCCTCGCCATCTTCTTCCCCTGCGCGGGGTGACGCCTCTCCCCAACGCGGCTCCTTGCCCGTTCCTTGCCCAAAGCTGATGAAACTACACGGCCCTCTATTGGGCATCGTGACGCTCTGCGAGGGTGCGGTCCGGGCCGAGCTAGCAGACATATTTGGCTTTGGGAGGGGTGAGACCACACTCCAGTGTGGAGCATTGGCCGTGGCCTTACAGAGATCCTCCTCAAGAGACGCGGTTACGTGAGCCCACCGCTCTCAGGCCCACATGCAGAGGCGAAGCTACAAGTACATGTAAATGTAATATGTAGAGTCAGCTGACTCCATAGGTTTTTGCAAAACAGCTAAAAAGCTATTGATATTTATGTTGAAATAATATAAAACTTAAATATATATATATATATATATATAGCTTTAACCTCATAGGTTTTAGTTGCTAGCTCTGTCACTACCCACATGTCAGTAACACATTGAGGATTTGCTTCCGGAGCAGCGGGATAAAATACGATGGTAACAGCTCTGCTATTGCGGCTTTATCAAATTGGTTCCTATCTAGAACCACTCCATAAACCGGCTAAATTTAAGAAAATCAAACAAATTTTTTTATTATTTTGACAAAATGTCTGAGAATTTCAGTGGTTTTGGCCGGTAATCGAGGAGACGAGGAAGACAACCATGTACGCGCAAGACGACGTTGGCGAAAATTTATTCCTGTGCTCGTCGTCGGTTGACGGGGTCACGATCACTGGCGGGGCCACAGGGAGCGAACGACCTCGGCGTAGCACGCGACGACGGCGGCCAGTGCCAGCACGAGCAGCGCCAAGCCGACGGCGGCCGGGGCGCTCTCGGCCGCCCAGCACGCCATGCTCACCGGCAGCGCCATCGCGAACGGCCACAGCAGCAGCACCCGCGCCCGCGCCCCCGGCGCGCCGGCGATGCGCCGGGGCTTGCCCTCCTCCTCCGGGAGCGCGCACAGCGCGAGCAGCGACGTGAAGACGCCGAAGCTGACCACCTGCGACGCGAGGACGGCGAGGAGGACGTACTCGTCCCGCGCCGCGAGCTGCGCGGCGAAGGCGGCGCCCGCCGCGAGGACGACCAGCGCCAGCGCCCCCGTCGCCAAGGGCGGCGACGCGGTGGTGCCGCAGTCGCAGCCCGACGACGGCTTCTCGTCTGCCGCCGCCGCGGACAGCAGCGGCTGCTGCTTCTCCACGTCGGCGACCGACCCCATCTCTGATTTTGCTTCCATTTTACGCACAATGGATGATTGGATGCTATGCTAGCTTAGCTGCACTGACAAATCCGTGAAATAATGCAATTACATAGCTGGCTATATAGTCTCAATAGTAAAATGAAACAAATTCATTTTAAAAAGCAGATAAGCTCAGCAGCGTAAGAACCAAGAAAATCACATAAATATTAAGCCGGAGCTTTGATCAACCAGCGGGCTTTACAATGCTGCAACTGCAAGAGCGTACATACTTCTGAGTATCTTAGGCGGCCGCTGGAAATTAATTAAGGAAATAATGACGTCATAATTAGTAAGCACTATAAATTGTGGCTCCAAACGACTAACCAATAGTATAAATTAACAAGAGGAACATTGTTATGGTTTTGGAACAGAACGGTCTCTGCTGTACAGTTTCAATGACCAAACACTCTGCACTCTTACAAAGAAAAGGACAAGCTAGATAAACCTATCGCTCTGTGGTTCACTGTGACAGTGAATCAGTGATGATATGCATCATGATACATAAATAATTACCAACATAGAGTATGACAATGAAACATCAAAATCGACAATGATGAAAAGCACCTCAGGAAGTAACTAAGCACATGCCAACAAAGGCCCTCTTTACTCTATGCAATAAAAATGATCTTCAGTGCTACCTCTTCAGATGATACTTGCAGTAGTAATGGAAACCAGGACCACACAAAGTGCAGACACTGTGATGCTGTCAATGACAAGTAAGCTGGCCAGGGTGATTAACTTTATCCAGTCTCCACTTTGCTGGGCAGGACAGATCATTAAGATGCGTTATGCTTAGCCTTAGCCGTTAGTGACAAGTCACAAGCTGTCTAATCTTATTGTTATCAGATTAATAAAGATAGTATGACAATGAGAAAACCAAATAAACAGAGTGAGTTCTGATATAGCCAAGCCGAATCTTGAGAGTTCTAGATTGGAATGTTTGTTGTCGGGAATCTTCAAAACAGCATGTGTTTCCTTCTTGTCAAAATTACAGGCATACGTCCACAGATGAACTGAGAAAAGATGGACGTCTACAACTTGGGCAAGAACAACGGGGAGACAAAATGTGAGTGCCACCTGATCCTCATCGCCAGATACGCCAGGCTTCAAAATGATTATGTTGCACTCCAGTCAGAAAATGGCCAGGCAATTTAACATGATATTGCACACATGGCAGAGGTTGAGCAAGTCGTTCAAGCATTTGATTTTCCTCCTTTTTTGAAGGCATGAAGTATTTGAACTGATCTGCTCTATCTGCCCAAAATGCCTCTCTGCTTAATAGATGGCTCATACTTTCGCAGCATCTGCTGCAGCCAGTCGCTCATCATCAATGGCACGCTCGTCTTCAGTGGTAAGACCCTCAATCAGTGAGATGTATGTGCTGTCATCAGGGGTGATGCCATTCTCCACCATCTCCTTCACCATGTTCTCAGCGTCATCTCCCTGGCCATTCTTACAGAGCCCCTGTATCAGCGCATTATATGTCAAAAGCGTTGGATTGAACCCCTTATTCATCATCTCATTCCGAATCCTCAGAGCATCCTTGACATCACCCTTCATGCTGTAGCCACTGATCAGCGTGTTATAAGTGACAAGGTCTGGCTGGATTCCCCTCTCTGTCATCTCATCAATGAGCTTGCGCGCTTCATCAACACGTCCCAGTAGACACAGCCCCCTCATTAGCGTATTGTAGGTCACATCATCTGGTGCGATCCTTTTCTTCTCCATCTCACCCATTATCTCGAAAGCTCGATCGATGTTGCCAGAAGTGGAGTGACTATTGATCAGAGCATTGTACAAGACAAGGTCAGGCCTAATGCCTCTCCTTACAGCCTCATCAAACAGCTTATCTGTCTCCTGAACTTGCCCCTTCTTAGACAAGGCATATATCAATGCCGTATAGGTCACTACTGTCGCACGGACCCCTCTCCTGGACATATTCTCAAAAATCTCTAGTGCTTTCTTCACGTTGCCCTCTTTGCAATGCCCGTTTATCAATATATTGTACGTGAACACATCCGGCGCAAGACCCTTTCCACCCATCTCCTCGACCAACTCATATGCCTCTGTTCCACGCCCATCCATGAACAAGGCGTGCACGAGTAAATTGTAGGTCGCGACTGTCATTGCGACCCCTCTCTCCACCATTCTATCACGGTAAAGGAGCGCAGTATCCAGCTTACCCTGGTCACAGTATCCACCAATCAAGGCGTTGTACATCACAGCTTCCGGTTTAACCTCTCCCTTGGTCAGCATTTCGTCGAACACCTTCACTGCCTCATCGACCCGGCCAACCTTACACCAGCCAGAGATCACCGTGCCGTAGGTGTACTGGTTGGGCGCGATTCCTCCGCGTTCTCGCATCTCCCGCATAATATCCAGCGCCGCCTGGACGCGGCCCCGGGAGCAGAACCCGGCGATGACGGTGTTGTAGGTGACGGCGTTCGGGCGGGGCATCTGGCGGAGGAGCTCGAGCGCGCGGGCGGGCTTCCCGGCGGAGCAGAGGTGGCGGAGCATGATGTTGAAGGTGGTGGTGCAGAGCGGGAGGCGGAGGCGGAACATGTCGGCGAAGAGGGCGAAGGCCGGGGCGGAGGGGAGGGCGGAGAGGAGCGGGTGGAGCGAGGCGGTCGAGATGGGGAGGGATAGGGACTTCATCCGCGAGTAGAGGCGGAGGGAGGTGGCGTGGGGGCGCACGGCGGCGGAGGCGGTGAGCAGGAGGTTGGGCAGCGAGGACGGCGCGCCGTCGAGGTGCGGGAGCACGGCGAGCGGCGAGAGCGCCTTGTCCGCGGACAGCACCGACTTGAAGAGCGCGAGCGCCGCCGCCGACGTCGGCGAGGCGCGGGCGGCCGCCGCGACGGCGGCGGCGGCGGAGGTGGGCGGCGCCATGTGGAATTGGGGACTTCGGAGGAGGGTTTTTCGTGAGTTTTCTACAGAGTTGGGCAATGGTATTGATTTTTCTCTCAGCAGATCGTCTACCAAAAGGCGGTCCCACATGCAGAGGTACAGAAACTGAACAAGACTTCAAAAAGAAAGAAAAAATTGAACAAGACAGAGAGAAAGAAAGAAGAAAATAAACTGGAAAATGTCATGCAGCGGCTTACATGTTACAACAACGCATAAACATGGTTCAAACGTTACAACACATAAACAAGGTTCAAAGGTTACAACACATAAACATGTTCTCACAGAACATTTTCAGGTTGAGATGCTACATTTTTTTTCTTTTTTTTTTTTTTACGGGGAAGAGAGACTACTATACTTACTGCTCGGCTACATAGAGCTGGTGTTAATACGCAAATCCATATACAAAATTTTCGGAGATCAGTTATATGAAGGGTTGACCACTCCAAATTTCGTCACTCTTATAAAAAGCGCTGCAGCTCTAAAAGAGTGTTGCAGCTCACTAGAGTGGCGAACCCTAGACCCTAAACCCTGAAGGCGTCTTCCTGCAGCACCGCTGCTTCCCACAACTCCTCAGAGCATCACTTACGTGTGATCCCCATCCACCCAGCCGAAGCTTTCCTGCGACCCGAATTGAAAATCCTATTGCAAGAAATTCAATTCAGGAAAGGCAAATCAGATTTTGTTCTTAACCGTAACAAAATATAAGTCAGAAAAAGAAAGGAGTATTACGAGCAAAGCACACTTACTTCCCAGCTGAAAAGGTCCGTTTCGTCCGTGTAAAGAAAAGGCAGCGTGTCATCAAGAGTTGGGACGGGGTCCTCCGGAAACTCGCAGCGCTGCAGCAGATCTTCGTTGAAGTCCCCGGCTGTTGACGCTCCAGCAGAACACCCTGCACGGTTTCCAGCTTCTACCATGGGCCGGAGAGTGGATGTGCTGCATTCCCCCTCCTGTGTAAAATTCAGCAATGCAACAGCATGAAGTATTGTCAAAAAAAAAGAAAAAAAGAAAGAGCAATTAATTTGTTTGCCCTATCCTCATTATCAGTAGCATGGCTTACCTGATCATGTGAAATGGTGCCATTCTGCTCCGTGTCACACGGGCTGTTCATCAGGCAGCGAGGCAGCGGAGGGTTCGTTATGGGTGTAATGGGATCACTTCTTATGGTCAGTGCATCAGATGCTTCTTCAGTAACAGAGTCCATTTCAGGCGTGCCAGTTTGCTTGGAGGATAATTGGTAGAATACCTTGGAAACAACAAGCTCTCCGTCCTCCCCGCCTTCTTCCACACCAAGATTATATTGATGCATAACCCAATTAGCTTGTACTATCTTGTTCTTTTTGGAGCCTTTGTAAAGAACCAGTATTTTCTTCCATCCTTTTAAGACACCGTTATGGTAAATCTGTTGGATTTTCCAGTTTTGTGCCATCTTATGTTCTCGTCAGAAGCAGCATGGCCGGTGTGGCTGATCTTTCTACGCTTGCGCTGACCAGAACCATATGCGTTTGATATTCTGTGGAAGAAATGGCTGCTGGTGCCGTCCAGCTTGATACCTGACAGAATTACAGAGGAATGTATGACACATGAGCTAACTAATTACTACTAGTTCAAAAGGCCTGATAACAACTTAAAATATATAATCCAGTACCGGGGAGATTTTCAGGATGTGTATAGCAGATTCCTTCCACCTTTTCTAGAGTTGGGATGAAGTGATCAATAAGACCCTGAGGCCCTGGATTTCCCAGGTTAATTTTTCTTTCTAAATGTTCAAGTACTTCAAGATCAGATGGATCAAATTTAACACCGTCAGGGAATTCTGGCCACTGTAAAGTAACCTGCAATGAGATTTTTTATTTAGCACCAACAAGAAATGCATAGAAAATGTGAAACTTACCCTACTGATATTTCTGCTTAAAGCCAACCTCGTCATACCCAAGGCAAGGGAGCCACAAGCTTTGTGGATTTTATATTGAAATTGTGACACGTGGGAGCCAGGACAATAGGAATAAAGTGTAGCACACAGCACAGTAATGAGCAAAACACCTTTTTTAGTGAATAATGAATGATCATAAATCGATTTAGCCGGAAAAAAAACATAAATAATAGTTACTCCTAATCATAGTATTAGTAAATTACTAATTTACCCCCAATATACCGGTAGTATAATACTACCAGTAGACTGATAGTATAATACTACCAGTAGAGAGCACCAGAGCATCGCTCTTTGGAAGTAATGTTGTCTAGTGTTGATTTTCTACACACGAAACTTTAATGGCAAAACATCATCAGAGTATCAGACAACTGAACTAAAAAGTTAAATCAAGCATTCATAAGTACAATAGGTAGCTGAACTTACATCGCTATTATCAATGTGACATTTGCAGTTTGGGCATTCCCTCCATGCTTCTGGAACCAATTCTCCAAGTTTACAACTCAGAAGCTGAGTTGCATTTCTTATTTTTGTAGCAATTACCTTTCCACCAGCTATAATCCATGGCCTGCAGTAAAAGGCAGAAGTGAGACATGTTCATCATAACAAAAAGTCCCAACTTATCTCAAGGACAATCTATCGCCTTGTCATTCACCAAAAAGTTCAGATTTTAAGGTTAATCAGCTTAACATAGTATAATTGTGCTAAGTTACAGATATGGAAAGACTTCTTCTACATATACGGAACTTAGTCTGAACTTCTAGATATAGTGACACGCACTAATTGGTTCAACAGAATTAATAGCAACTAATCATGAATATAACAGGGGTTAACATAATTAATTAACAAACCGTACTTCGTACAGTTACTACCTTGTGCCTTGTGCATTTACTACAACAAAAATGGTAGGAGTAAGATTAAAATTAACAGCTATCTAATTCAGATGTGTCCTAGGCCTGCATGATTCCAAATGTTGAGCACATGGATGGTAGCACACTAACTAGTACTTAGTCTAGTACTACTTTTGGTCTCCACATCATTCGTCATGCAATGCTGTTGTTGGAAATTCAAAGATTGACATATCTCCACTCTGTTTGACTTTCCATGAGTTCCATTCCCTCATTCCCTGCTTTCTGCTATAGATTGCTCTGTTTCAAGAAACCAAATGTAAATGGACAGAGCAATCTATAGCAGCGAATGGCTATATGCCTCAAAATTTTAATGGTTTAACTGCAATCCACTTTGGATCTGCTTACTTCCCTAAACTGTTGCCACATTACTCTCCATTATGATTGGCTAGGCAAGGGTCCAAAAGAACAGGGTAATTCACCATAGGCTCCACAGCTCATTTACTCACTGATCCAGTGTTCTAGGAGTACTACAAACGTATCGAAATCTGGAAGCTGAGCCCTTCACCTTAGCAGCTGCAACTGTAACAAGCCTGACCATCAGCAACAATAAGCCTTCACTTAGCAGCTAGAATGCTGAAAAATCCACCCAAACCGGACATTCAGAGTTTCAGACAGCGTAAGGTTTCATCCAAAATCACATTCTGACAGCGTAAAATCTTCTGTCCATCGATTCTGAACGCCATTCCTGCACCATCACCCAGACCGGTGGCAATCCAATCGGCAATCAGATGACACGAATCCGAAATCTTCCCCTCTGTTAGCAACGAGCAGCTGTGAACGATCGGAAGACGACACATGACCCAGTCTCCATAGAACAGAAGCAGAGTCTTCCTCCTCTGCTTGTTTCTTGGTTGCTTCCAGCGTAAGATTCCCCCTCAAACCTCAGTAACCTGCAAAAACCCCCACCCCCGCATGCACCATCCGAGACCGCTATATCCACCGATCTCATGCATTCCGGCCACGATTCCATCACGCCACCAGTAACCAGCTCGATCTCCACTCGAGCCACACACAAGAATCCAAAGCGATCGATCCCCCCACCCCTTCCAAAAACCCCAACACCAGAATCCACCTCTCACCGATCAGACCAACCACCACTGCATTACACCTCCTCAGGTCAACCCGGAACCACGAGCCAGCTGGCGGAGGCGAAATCCCCAAATCGATCCGCTCATCAGACACGGAAAAGAGAAGAGAGAGAGGATTAAAAAAAAAAACTAGCCCTTGCGAACGAACAGAAGAAAAGCGAAGGAAGAAAACCACCCCCAAGAAAAAGGAACCGATTAAACCAAACCAGGCCACACCCCGATCGATCGGAGAAACCCCCACCCCCGATGCTCACCTTGCCATGGGTGCGGCGCTGCGACGGGAGCTTGGGCTGGGAGGTAGAGAGCATCCGAGGGGGGAGAGAGGAGGAGAAGCGAGAGGAGAGGAGGAACTTCTTGGCAAGTGAGGCAGAGGCCAGAGGGGGGAGTGGCCAAGGAAGCCGGGGGTATAAATAGGGGAGCTTGCGCGAGCCAGCCTCGTTGGTGGGTTCGCGTCTGGAAAGGGTTGGGGTTTCTTTGGCTTTACCCATCGTCCGACGAAATCCAAACCAAAACCATCCATCCTGTTCGCTTGGCGGGAAACCGGGCTCGGGTGCGGCGCGGTGCGGACGTGCGGTGCGGCTAGCCCGCTACTGCCTTACTGTCGCCTCTCATTCAGCCATTCTCATCTCTAATTCTACTGTACTCTCTCAAGCTGCCTACCACTACCTACCAGTGAATGTTTCTTCAGGATGTGTTACGGCCGAAGCAGCTGCAGCTGCTACTAGCACTCTTTTGGTACTGTAGCGCGGTTCGATGTTTTGCAGCCACAACCATTGCTACTACTCCTACTACCAATCACTCCCATTGAATTTTCGTGTTAAAAATCTCTGCCCACACTTTGTACAGAATCCATGTAATCTTTCCACACAGGGACATGAATATTACTGTGCCACTACTAGTCGTTCCCATCAGACAGACACGAATAACGCTCATCAGCACTCTCCTACAGGCGCACGTATGCGGTATACTAGTATAGTACTACTATGCGTCTATGCGGCGAGTGTTCCACGCTTCCTTGCACCGGACAAAAGCCCCCGCCCGCCTTGGCCATTGGCTAGGATCAGGCACACCCGCGGTCGTGGCCCAATGGCAATGGCCGGATGCAGGAGTGAGTGGGGCCCACGCGCGCCTTGTCCTTTTTGGTTCCTGGGATGCCGCCACGTCCACGACCCACTGGTGGCGCGCCGCGCGCTCACTCTCATCGCCCTGTTTTTCTTCCTCTCCAAGCCAAAGCACGCAGCCCCACACTCCCGCGAGGGAGGGACCCAGCAGAAACGGAAACTCGCACTCGCGCTTGGTGGCACGGCGAGAGCTCTCTCACGTCTCAGCAGCCCCAGCCCCGAGGCCCCGAGCGAAGGGAAGGGAAAGGGAGGGGAGTAGTACGCGCTGCGCTGTAGCCGCGTGCTGCAGCTGGTCGGGAAGGGGAGTAGCCGCGAGCTGCAGGGAAGGGGAGTATGCGCTGCGCTGTAGCTTGGCTGTCTTGGCTCGGCTCGGGCGTTGGCTACTTGACTTGACTCGCGCAGTGCTACTACGGTCTACAGTCTACTGCGGGCTTTGTGTCGAAGGCCCCTGCGCGCGTGGACGTGGTCGATCCAGGCGTCCGTTGGATCTCGCGGTGGATGGGTGGTGCGGATCGGAGAGATCGGACCACGCACCGCTCGCTCGTTTTGGGCCCATGCACGACCACGTACGCCATGTTCAGAGGATGATTGGAATCAGCTGTGTACCGTACTGTATGTCACAAGGAGGCGGCGCAGTGACTTTGTGACCCACCGGCAACTAGCGATACGTATTGTTGCATGTGCCAGAAGCCCAGATTATTCAGTGCATATACGGAGCAGCGTATACGTCTTAAGTGCAGGCCTGTCGCTTGTGTGGGCCTGCTTGGGCCAAATGGAGGGCCCAAGTCGACTCTCTTTCACGATGAGATAAGCCTATGTTTTCTGCCCATACAAAAGCTCTGAAAAAAATGCATCTTTATTGCCGCGACATAGGTCATAGTACATGTGTATGTTTTATTGCCGCGACCGCGCGACGAGCTGGTAAATCCTCTACAGAAGTACGCGTACGACTTCTACTGTTGCGACTTCTGCGCAAGTTCATACCACTGCCAAGCTGCAAAATCTACTCTACTTTCTAGTGCTCCTATTGCACTTTGTCGTCGTAGTAGTACGTTTACTTATCTAGATCGATATGCCAGCTCATCGTCCTAATGAAACATGTAGGGCTCCTTTGAATCACATGATTAAAAAAAAGAGGAATAGAAAAAACACATTATTCTGATAGAAATGCAAGTGTAAAACAATTAATTGCAAAACACAGAAATTACCGTTTGATTGGGCTGCACGAAAAACTTAGGAATCAGATGAGAGAGATAAACTTAGAGGAAATTTTCCAAGAGATTAGAGAGCATGTTAAATTTCCTATGTTTTTCCTCTAAGGCCCCCTTTGATTCAAAGGAAATTCATAGAAATTTTAGAGGATTTCATTCCTATAGGAATTTTTCCTATAAAGCCCTTTAAATCAAAGGAATAAACCCTATGGAATCCTATGAAATTCCTATGGAATGCCTCTTCTCATACAAGTTTTGGAGGAATGTTAACAAGAGGTAGAACCTCATGGAAGAAATCCTTTGAGTCTTTATCTCTACTCAAATTTCTGTGTTTTTCCTGTGGTCCAATCAAACGGTCATTCCTATGTTTTTCCTGTGTTTTGCAATCCTCTATTTTACACTTATATTCCTGTCAGAATCCTATGTTTTTCCTATTCCTCCGTTTTTTTATTCCTGTGATTCAAAGGGGCCCTAAAATCGTAGAAATACGAAAGTTTCCACCGTTTTTTCTTTTCTCGTTCCTACGAATCAGAGGCATAAATAGTGTATGATTTCAATTTCTTTGTTTTTTCTTCATTTTTCCTCAATTCAAAGGGGCAGTAGTATTTTCTATATAGTTTATAATGAAGGTAATATCTCGCTGCAGTAAATGAACAGAGGAAGGCTCCTACGGCCAGAGCAAAATCCAACGGCGAGAAGTCCCACAGGTGATCCAACGGAGTAGTAGTACGGGGACATGCCCTGATGCACTGTTCTGATGATTGGACGTCCGGGCTCTCCAACGACGAGCCCGTACATTCCGCCGCGTACTGATACAGTGTCGTCTCCACCGCCCATGGCCGGAAATCGCGAGACCAAATGATGGCGTAGCCTGCGATGAGATCTCGTCGACTTGACGGGTTGACGAGACGACGAGAAGATGGCACGCAACGCTATCGCCCACCGCCGATCCCTCGAGCGGTGTCCGGGTTTCCGACAGGCGCAAACGACTCACGACACCACGGCCAGTCGCGAGTCAGGTCAAGGGTCAGGTCAAGGGCCTCGCATGCTGATCAATCGATCGGTTTTGATTGGACTGATTCTGATATGCGAGATTACTCAAATTTGCTGCTCGGCACATCGATTCGTCGCAAGCTCCCAACATTCGCAATTCATCGGAGGATTTTTCGAAGGAATTCTATGAAAAAATAAATTAATTTATGTGAAAAATCTCTGTAAAGTTCCCGTGCTCGAAGGAAACCTGATATGTGGCCTCAAGCCCTCAACTGTGTTTCCTGGTCAGTGGACTCTCGGCGGGTCTACCAAAAAGGGAAAGGAAGAACAGCGACAAATAACCATTTTGTGGCTGGCCAACGGAAAAAACAACTGGCTACACGAGTAGTAGTAGTATCCATCTCAAACCTCTTGTTGATTTGAGGCAACCAGAGCACAATAGAACACCGATTTGCTATACCAAGTACGGAGTACCAATAATAGGGTAGTGATCAGAGAATGTTTCACTGACCGCTTCGCCCAACTGCCCAAGTCCTCCAAGCCTATCTATAGTTCTATACGCAATATACCTTGCCCACCGATAATAGAAGCATCCACCTGTCGATCCAGCCAGGCCGGGCCTGCAGACAGCGAGCTGTTTGAACCTAGCAATTCACTACCAACCAGCTGCTAAACCACTTGGAGAACAGGTCAAGAGACGGTAGATTAGACGCACAAGAAGGAATAACTTAGCTCAACTTGGGCATTGGGTTGTGTACTTGTGTGTGATATTGCCTCGGATTGACCACAGGACACATACCAGACAAGCGCTCAAGTCAATGATGGATGAAGAAACAGAAGAAGTGCTCACGCAATCATGCGGCAATTTCCAACGACGGAGCAACGGAAGCCAGAGTTTTTGGTCAACCAGAAATTGGATGCAGCCATCAAAGAAAGGAACAGAACACCAACGCGAAAAAGAAAGAGAGAATAAAAGCATGTGTGGATTATCTGCAGGGTAATGCTAGTTCTACAGCATATAAATCTGAAATCTCACTTGATTTTGCAATCTACAGCAGTTCTCAGTTTATGTATCAATCAGGGAAGTAATATGAATGACAGGTGAACTTGTGGTGGCTACCACAGGGTAATGAGCTCCTCTGGGAAGGTAACCATGCCACGACCGAGCATACACTATGCTGTAGCCTGTAGGGTCGTCCGGTGTTAGATTGCACAGTGAAGGATGATGAAATCATCCATAGCCACTCATCCCAAGCAATCATCCAGCTAAGTTAGCCAATCATATCAGATGCAACCGTCACGGCCAGCCAATCTCGGAGGTGGAGAACATGGCAGTGACAGGCCTGCACATCAGATTGAAGAGTGTAGATCATCAAAATCTACCCACTTTCTCTCCTGCAGTACCCTGGGAGAAGGTATCTGTACCGATCAACATTCTGTAGCAGATAGCTAGGAAGATGAACAGCAGAAAATGTGCTTGGAATCGGCCCCAACTTGGCAATGATCTCTTGGAACGTGTACTCTTCAGGAAGCATGTCAAAAAGATCCGCCCCTCTGCATATAACATCTTGAATCCTTTCAGGGTTCAGGAAGTACTTAAATCTAATCCGATCGACATGGCTGTAAGCTTGCATTTTGAAGGCAAAATCACTAATGTAGCGAAAGCAAAAACTGCAGTGCCACCCTGAATCAGCAAGAAGCTCATCTGTCTGCCGGAAGTGTGCATATCTTGTCTTCCCAGACCTGTACCTGTGTATCGATGCCCTCCAACTTTTGTCATCCAGGAAAAATTCAAATGAGTAGAGGTAATTCCTAAGCTGAAGATGAAGGATCTCAGGAATGTCGTCGCACCATCTCAGGAGATCAATTGTGTGGCCACTTGGGATTTCATCAACATCTGACATGATCAACAGGTCATCATCTTCTATTTTTGCAATCTTAATAAGCTGGTCCAGGGCAACCCTCTGATATGACTCCTCAACAAATGGGTTTTCTCCCTTCACGAACCTTCCCCCAATCATACCATATGTCAGCCGTGATTCAGCAAATCCAAATCGATGACGATTTTCCTTGAAGTGCAGGGGCTTTTTCAATCCAGTGAAGGTTGAGTTCGACTCAAGCAGCACAAACTCTGAGACATAGGGGCTTAGTTCATTCCAACGTATTTCAAGAATATCGAGCTCATTGCTGAATAGTACAGCATCGAAGACACGTCGTGGGGTCTCCCGGACTTTCCACCCATGCAACTTGCAGAGTTTCGCCATGGTGACATTCTCATGGTAGTAATGAGGGATAGTTTTGAAGGGCTTGGGAGGAGACTCCCATATTGGCCTGAGGAAGTATGTGACCTTCTGACCATGAGCATATATCATTAAAATTAGAATTGGCACTCCTATCAATAGGGCCAATAGTGCTCTGAAATCAAATCCCCGAAGTGCACATCTCAGCCTCGACATGGTCAGAACTGCCTTTGACGCAGGCTGGAAATGAATTCACAAAGAAAATAAGAAATCAAACGAGCAGTAGTGGACATAAAAGAGTTATGAAAGAAATAAGAACAGCAACCATCTGCATGCCAACTGCTCCTCCACAAAAACTATTTAAAATTTCAGTATGTGCATATATTAGCAATATTTATTCCTAACGCGGGAGCAAAGTGGGCAATAAGGCCATAATCAAAGCCTGCTTGCCAAAAAGATATAACCTCATGAAGCATTCGCTAAACATTAGCTTTTCAAAATACAGGTCTTGTTACAGTCAGCAAAGGCAGCATCTGAAATTCACCGGTAACTCAGAATTCCACTACAACCGCAACAAAGTAGCAAAGGACAAATGAGAGACCTAATGCCACAGCTAAAAGCACAGATGCAAAAAGCCAAAGACAATTTCGCTCGTGAAGATCAGCAAAGCCATGTAAAAAATAGGCAACAGGAACCTGGAACAATAGGTAATCGCAATGCCCAGCTATAACCAAATTAAACTAGCTTCATTAACCAATAACACGCACCAGCCATCACAGAAGCCGGTAAGATACCTAACCCAAATTATGCAGCTTTAATGGGTAAACCAAAAGGGGTAGGCATCCCAAATTCCACAAGCTTGCAAGAGCCCGAAGCTTTCGCCGCACAAAGCCACGATCCAAGCAAGAAAGAGGGGAAGTCCCAACCTCATCGAAAGAAAGATTCTCCACAGTTCGAAAATGCCAGCACGAAACACGCGGTTCGGCCACGTCGCGAGATTCTACCACCAAAAAGTCGTTACTCGTTAAGAATCCGGACTCCATATCGCCACCCACACCTACCTAATCCCCCCCATCGCCCGCAACGGGGCAGATCGAGCGCTGCAGATAAGCATGGGAAAGCAAACCGCCCCCAAATCCGAGCAACATCGCATCCAAAACTCGGAGCATATGGCAATCAGCTTCCACAAAATCGGCCCGCGTGCGGAGACGGCGACAGCGAGAGCGCGCGCGCTCGCCGCCGCAGACCGAACGCGCGGCGCGCGTCTAGGGGAATCGAAGGAACCGACGCCCGCGACAAGCGGAGCATGTCTGGACCGACGGGGCCATGGGGAGGGAAGGGGGAAGGGAGAAGGGGGGGTAGTAATGGCTCACCTCGCCGCACACGCCGTCGCAGATGCCGTCGGTCTTCTTGTGGCCGTAGGGCCCGGTCTCCGGCATGGCAGGCGCGGCCTCGCGCCAGCAAAGCCCCACCACCACCACCAGAGCAAACGAATCCGAGCAGGAGAGAAGGTCCTCTCCAATGGCGAGGAGGGCGGGGCGCCTCCCGTGGCCCGGGGGTCGCCGGCGATCGCCGGTGGCGGCGGCGGCGGTGGTTGGGTGGGGGCCTTGTTCCGATCTCGCCCTCGGAGGGAGGGGGAGGCGGACGCTTCTGGGCGTTGCCCGTTACGGTGGTGGCGAGTTGTGTAATTAGCGGGGGAGTCGCGGGGGGTCGTGGGCGCAAAAGCGTGGGGGCGCGTTTTGGAACCGCCTAATTATAGCCGTTCGCGTGGTGGCCGTGGCCTCTGCCTGCCTGCGCCTCCCTCATATCCATCGCCCCGGTGGTGGGCGGTGCGTGCGTGGCGCGGTGCGGTGCGAGCTGGGCAGTTTTGTCCTCACGCACGCTTGGGTATTTTTCTAGGGACATAAATTAAGGGGAGGCCAATTAAGCGTATTGTATATCCGTGCCATAGTCCTGAACTCTGTGTAGACTCTAATGAAAATGGGAGGCTTTGCCCCTCTTGATAAAAAAAAAGTATATCCGTGCCATAATACTTAACTATTTTCTCCGTCCCATAAAAAACAAACCTAATACTAGATGTGACACATCCTAATACTACGAATTTAGATATATATATATATGTCAGGATTCATAATATTATAATATGTCACATTTGTTACTAGATTTGTTTTTTATAGGACGGAGGGAGTACGTTCTTTATTGCATAATAAGTTCATTTATGCTCATTTTATTTATTTTAAAATAAGTTAATTTTTGAGTAATTATTGCATTATAAAGTTTGTGAGAGTGAAAAATAAATATATAGTAGACAAAATGATGAATAGTTGTATTAGGATTTGATAATGTAGAGGTATTGTATTTTTTTTATTTTGTATTGGTATGTGTGGGGGTGAAAAATGAACTCAGTTTGAGACATATGTAGTACTCCCTCCGTCTTTTAATATGTGACACCGTTGACTTTTTCTCACATATTTGACCATTCGTCTTATTCAAAAAAATTTATACAAATGTATAAGATATAAATCACACTTAAAATAATATGAGTGATAAAACAACTCATAACAAAATAAATTATAATTACGTAAATTTTTTGAATAAGACGAATGGTCAAACATGTGAGAAAAATTCAACGGCGTCATCTATTAAAAAACGGAGGTAGTATATATCTAACCCATATACCAAGGAGAAATATAGTCAGAGAATACTTATAAGATATGTGTAATTATACACTACATTTTCAACACAAAATAAATATTTAATATTATATTTAAGAAAATTAATTTGATATTGTAGATGTTAGTTTTTTCTATCAACTTAATCAAACCTAGAAAAATTTGGCAAAGAAAATTAAAGCGACTTATAATATGAAACGGAAAGATACCTTGCAAAATATAATCAATGTTATATCATGATCTTTTTTGATCATAATAAATACACACATCATACTTATACACATGCTGAACCCTCACCCTTATTAAAAAAAACTTTAATAAAACAGTACCGCAAATAAGTTCGTACTCCATTTGTCCTAAAAATAATCAAATCATAGTTATGAATATGGACAAGTGCTTATTCAGGTTTATAGCGAGCATTTGAGTTTTTTTAGACAGAGGTGTAGGTAATAAGATTAAATTTTAGTGGATAAAGTTGTATACCTATGGTTTCTCCTGATCAGCATACCATAGTACTTTCTTAGGTTAATATTAGATATTACTTGGCCATGCAAATGACCTGTATTTTGGACAGCTAATCTTAAATATGAGGTGTGTCTTTGTAACTATAATATGCCAGGTTACATTTGTACTCCGTATTAGCTAATCATGTAAGGTTTATATAGTTTTGAGTGTATTTTGAGACGACGTCTATAAATAACATTCTTAGCAAAGAAAAATCTTTCCTCACAAAGAAAAAGGCCTTCTACTTTTACTGTTATGACATGAATGGTTGCCAAACGAGCTACCTCAAGCTTCGGAATCCAACTCACCTCAAAGTATTTGCAGTACAACTCATCATCTTTCCTGCAAAGGATAAGATAAAGAACCGCAAACATCACGAGAAAAGGATATGATATATATATGCAATTATGAGAGGCCACCCAGGTGAGATGCCAACGTACAAAACGGATTGATCTTTCCATCTATATTTTGTTTCTTCTCCTAACCAATGCATCATCTACGCTACAAAAAAAAAAAAAGGCTCTTTTATCACTTTCATCAGCTAGAACAAACCATCGTATACACGACGACTCCACCTATCTCGGCAGCATCACATTCGGAGGGCATCTTTCCCCCAAAGCGCCCGCGAAAACATGCGTGTTCCCAACACAACTCTCCAAAGATGAATTGATCACCTGATTCCCTTTTGGCACAAAATTCCTCTACCACAGTATCGGCAAATCTGTCTCGTTCAACGCTTGCTTTTGCTTACTAGGCCGCTATTGCAATCGCTACGTTCTCATCCACTATGCACAGTAGCACCATGCTCCTACTACTGCTGTCCTAGCCACTACAACTGATTACTCTCTCTATCCCAGAATATAGCAATCTAAAATCGAATGAGACGTATTCTAATACTACGAATTTAAATATGAGGTATATCCAGATTCGTATTCCATCTAATTTTAGTATGCTACATTCTGAACGGAAGGAGTAAGTTTTAGAAGTGATCTTAAACTAATTTAGGTGCTTTTGTAGAAGCCATAATCTGCTTTGCTTAATCGTTTTTTTCACTTCTAATAAACCTTAGCCATAATCTGCTGTTGCGTCGGCCTCGTCATAGCCGCCCCCCCTCCCCCCCCACGTTGCAGCAAACATCCTCCCCTACCCCTCCCCCTAGTGCCCTCTTCCCTCCACGATCCAAACCTGGTGCTCTCCCATTGTTCTTGGGTTTGCTGGTGCTATTCTCATATCAAAACCTTCTCATTTCCGGCATGCTCAACAATTGGTCCAGGTGTTTGTTCCAGGAACTGTGCTCCTCCAGCAGCTTGGCTGGTCTATGTCCCATGCCCTCCGGCGAGGTCGCGGTTGATTCTCTTTCATCTGCAAGTTCCCCCTTGGCCATTACCCTTTTGTCTACCTCCTGCTCGTTTCCACCCCTTTCCTTGAGATGTCCTCGACCGCAAGGTTCAGCGGCACTCCCTCCTTTAAGGCTTCCTTCCCTTGAAGGGCGTTGGAGTGCGTTGATCTAACAAGCAATTTGATCAAGTTTGATTGAAGAAGACTCATTGCGGGTGGCCTTTGGCTGCATCTTTCAGTGTCCCTCCCTCCTATGGGGCTTCCTTCCCCCAAAGGGCGTCGGCGGGCTTGGATCCAAAAAGCAAAAAGACCAAGTTAGCTTCTTGATGGCTTCATGCGGGTGGCCTTGGACTTCCACAGCTTTTCGTTGGCTTTTCTTCTATTCCGGCATGCATGTGGCTGTGTGAGGAAATGGATGTTGACAAGCTAGGGTGTTAGCTTTAGGTTTTGGTGTTTGGTTTGGGTAATTTTGCAGGTGTTGCTCGTCAATTGTTATCTTCTGTGAGGTTTTTTTTCTTTATCTGTTTTCTCCTCTTTGTATTCCCCGTGTATTCTATTCTCCTATCCTCCAGGGCCCTTGCGTTTGCGTAGGTGAAGCCTGCCCTGTATAAGATCATTTGGCTCAATATATTCAGGTGGGGACTCTCTCCCCCCGGTGATTTAGTCAAAAAAAAATAATACTTTGTTGCAAGCACACAAAAAATTTATTTTAAACATAGCAAGATGTCGTCGTGATAGGATACTGGTTGCAAGACGATGTCTAGTGTCTTCCTGTTTTATTATCAAGCATGGGTCTGTTTTTTTAACCCTGAAAAGGATGGCCACACCCTATCAGTGATCGCACCCGCGAAAGCGAGGAGCACGAGGAGCGCGCGCGCGCGGCCGTTTTCTTCCCTGAAACAGCGTGCGCGGGTCGGAGCGAGATGCGAGGGGCGTCCACGCAGTGCAGACGCATGCAGGCCGCGGTTCTCTCGGCTAAAAAACTACTCGTAGTACTCCAGTACTACGAGTTCTCCGCCGCGGCGATTTGTTTCGTGCGTCGCGTGCGGCGTGGCAAGCCAAAAAGCCGCTGGACTTCGCGAGGGGCACGGCGGGGCGGGGCACCGGCCAATCGAGCCAACACGTCGTTGCCGTATGCACGCCGCGGCTTGGAAATTCCGGCGGAAACCGATGGTTTTGTTCGACCCGTTTGGCGTTTAGGCGGGCGTCGCCCCCTTCTTTTATTTGTTTTTGAGTAGAGTGCACGGACGGTCCTTAAACATTATGTCTGTGTGACATGCCACATCAGCGTCACGTAGGATCCTGAAGGGGCTGTGGCTATTTGGGATTTAGATGACACATTATGACAAGTTCTGAGACTTGGATATGCATTTTGAGAGTTTAAGAACCTAGATGACACACCGCTACAAGTTTAAGGACCGCCCATGCACTTTATACTTTGTTTTTTTTCCGTTCCAATGATGGAGCCGACGAGTTTCTCCGTCTCAAAATAAGTTCTATTCCACATATATCAATATAAAAAAAATTAAAATACCACTATGTTATTAAATCACAATGTAATTAGTTTTTTATCTACTTCTAATATATTTATTTTCTAATTTCATAAACTCCGATGTAATAATTACTTAAAATAAATAAATTTTAAAACAAATGGAATGGAAAAATTGATGTATTTTGAGACGGAGGATTATCCAAGACTTATCATTGCATATTTGTGTTAATTATTTAATGTGTGCGTATCACTGTATCAGCTGAGCGGAGGGCGCAGTCGATCGATCGACTTGACCGGTTGACTTGCAAAGAAGCACATTATATAAGTATATACTACTTCTTGTACAGTTCGGTTGGTCCATGAAGCATGCAAAGTAACAGTGGAAAAAAGGCCATGGAAAATGCGTCGTCCACTGATGAGAGATCAGTCCGTGTCAAGTTGCTAGCTGCTGGTCATTTTCGCGACATGAAACGAGAAAGAAAGGGCGGCATCGCTAGTGGCCCATCGAAAAAATACAAATGGACAGGCACCTCTCGGTGTTTTAGTGCGTTTAGTGGCTCAGGGGCAAAGACCGTGTGAACAAGAATCGCCCTAGACTTACTTTGATTAGACGGCGATCTGTACCGATCCACCACAGCTTCCTCTGCCGCATGCTGAGCTGAAACTAATATGTTGGGGGCGAATTCGACACACAAGAATTTCCATAGAATTTCAGTAATTACTTTAAATTCTACAAAATA